GATTTAGTCTTGTGCAAAGTAAAATTTTGAAATTTATGTTGTTGGCTTGGTTTTGTCATTTTTCATAGTAGGAAAAAGGATGATATATTTGTTACATATCATTTTTTAACTGACTTATTTAATAATTGTGATTGATTAAGTCAGCAAATGAAATCAGTATTTCAAGTCCAAATAACATGTTTATTACTAAAATGTAAGAGAGATGAATATAAATCTCTATATGATAAGCACACTATGAAATAGATTCTTTTAAACATTAATAGGGACAGGGGTATCAAGGGTTGATGTATACGATAAAAATGATAAATAACTTATTGGTGCTCTTTGAATCAAGAAGGGTAAATGGCATTTTATTTCCTAACAAATTACTTTGGTCCTAAAAAGAGTAAAAGTATCATATTATACCCTAAATATCTTTAATTGGTAGCAATGTATCTCAATTTATCAACAACCTAAAATTTGTCAATGGTTGACGTCTCATGTGTCATGCAAGTGATTTGAGATAGGTAAATTATATCGGACAATTGAAATTAATAACCAAATTTAGGGGATAAAGTAACATTACGATATCATTAAAACAAATATTTTTTGTTGATTGGTCAAATTCTATAATTCTAAGAAGTTTTAGTTATATGATTTAAAAAAAAAAATCTATATAATAAAATAGTTTACGATTCAAATTTCAAAAGATAAATAAAATGACTTTTACTATTCGCGGTTGAGATCGTTTTAAATTTTTATTTTAAAGTTAATCTAACGGCTAATATTAACATCTTAAATTTAATAAGAAAAATAGGCCTCTAAGGGTGTATTTGAAGTGACTTTTTAAAAATATTTATAGAAATTATTACTCATAAATATTTTTTTTAAAAAATAGTGTTTGAAACAGTCCCAACACTACCTCTACCACCACTGTCGCCGCTGTCATCGCCACTGTCGTCGTCGCCACCACTACCACCACCATTGTCATCAAGGTCATTGTCACTCATTACAATCATTATTGTCTCCTATCACCACCACTATCGCCCACCATCTTTCACTCCTACTATAAAATCGATTTTTAAATTTTTTTATCTTTTCTTTATATTTGTGATTTAATTTTGGATATAAATATAAATATATTTTTTATTTTTTATTACTCTGTACCTTTAAATACAGATAATAACTAGTTAATTTATAATACGAGATCTTTAATCTTTGAACTTAATAAATGAAACTGTAAAATTATTCCTGGGACAAAATGCAATTAGTCCAAACACGGTCTTCACTCGTGTTGGGAAAATAAATGCTTTTAGAATTTGTTTTGAGTGTCATGTACATATATAAACATGCAACACGTGCCATTCGGTCAGATGTTCAAACGATGATAGCGAATGTGTGGAATCCATCGTACCCGGACGAGGATTACGACGAGGTTTTGAATGTTGACAGCCATATGTTGTGACCATGGTCGGCGGCTTGTTAAGTCCATCCATTATTATTTGGAAAATTGTTACGTGAATTTAAAAAATAAATTTAAAAATTAAATTTAATATTCTCAATTATTGATTTCACTGTAGATTTTAGCATTTATTGAGAGTCACTACCTCTTCAATAGTTAAAATTATCAAATCTAATTTTTAAATTTATTTTTTAAATCTATCTAACATTACCCTGTGGCAATAAGACCATAGCCTACCTTCATTAGATTATGATTGTGATTATTGGAACAAATGTGTAAGGACGGACTTAAAATTTTCTCAAGTCAATAGTAATATAATAAAATATTTTTATTTATGCTCCGTTTAGTAAAAAAGATGAGATACATTTTTCATCATTCAATGATACAAAGTAGAAATGATACACTTTTTTCTTTTGTGTTTGCTTGGATGGATGGAAAATAACAATAACTAATTTTTTTAAGATCAAGGGTGACAATCGAATCTGGTCGTATCAGATTCGTGTTGAGTCATAAAATTATGAGTCTTTTATATTTGTTATTCGCCTGTCAGGTCATCTTCAAGTTCGTGTCGAGTTCGAGTCGTGTCATTGTGTGAAGTCAAAAATTTTCACCCCTAGTTAAGATAAAAAACATATTTTTTAAAATTTAAAATTTAATTTGTTTTTAAATTTGTAATTTTCTAATTTTTAAATTTATTTTTAATTTTTTTAAATATATATATATATATATATATATCATTATTTTTTTATATGAAATTAATGTATAAATAATATATAGACAAATAAGATATATCTCAATACAAATAATTAATTTTTCATCCACTTTCCTTCCGATTTTGGAGAGATTGATTTGATGAGTTGAAAGGAAAGTTAATTCATCCATTTTTTTCATCATTTATATTTTTCTTCCTTACCAAACATAATATTTTATATATCCCTCCAAATTTTCATCCTTCCAATTTTTTATCCTTCAATTTTTTCATCACGCCAAACAGAGCATTAATGTAGGTCATTCAATAAAATTATTAGTATCAAATTTGTAATGTACAGAATATATAAGAATCAACCTGACATGGTACAGTGTAACTATTATTTTTCAACAAAATGAATAAAATTAATTAAAACTAAATGAATTACTAGATGTAAAGGTCAAATCAATTCATCAAATAATCAACAATTTTAGTTTAATTTTATTATATAATCACTCAACTACAATTAGATTTCATCACAATTTTGACAAATGTGACAAGAGAGAGAAAGAATAGATCTCTAAAATATATATTACAAAAGATATTTAACTTTTTATATGTAATGTCTGGATATATTATAATTTGTCCTCTTACTTATGACACTAATCTCACTTTACCATTACATTATTGATTCGATCATATTACGCCATTAATAACTTAAAATAGTCTAAAATTTACAGATTTGAACAATACCAATATTTAACGATTTATAAAAAAATGTCACAATTTTAATAGTTAATAGTTCAATATGGTCAAATCAATAGTCAAGAGGATAAAATAAAATCAAGATTATAATTTAATGTATAAAGTATAATTTTAAGAATATAAGTACCATTTAAAATGTAATAAAAAAACATAATTTTATGGGTATAATATATAATTTGAAAAAGTTTAGGGGGCCATGGGCCCCTTAGCCATAACATGGCTCCACCACTGTACATGTGTTTAATGTGAGCATGATTTGAGATACGATAACTGCTGACATAGAAAATTTTCATGTACATATATGGATTAAACGTTAAAATAATTTTTTTATTTAAAATCAATAGAGATTGTGCAATATTACATCAATATTATAGTCAATCCACATGTTATGCACAAAAAAAAAAAAACAAAAGATTGTTCAAAGATACTTGGGATAGAACACTGCGAAATGACAAAAAAGGCAGCATTCACAGGGAGGCATAAAATAAAAGCTCTCCTCGTTGGATTAAGATGTTCTTCAATAATTATTTTTTTTTATATAATTTTATTCAAGGATAAATCATCTTTTATGTACTTAATTGAGACTCACTATTGACGTGTAAGTTCGTTCTTTTATTAATTAAAATTGTATATATTTAATTAGTAATAGAGCAATGTCGTTAAAATTTAATGTGAAAATAAAATTGATTTGTCAATCTTACCAAAGGTTTACGTGTCCAAGCATTTTGTGGATAGTACTTATGTATGTCCTTGCAAAAAGTTGAGGCTCGTGGAATTCCATGTTACGGAAGGTCGTGGAATTCCATGTTAAGGTAGAGAGTTTTTGTCCATACGAGAACTGGAGGCTTGTGGAAGTTCATGTCATTGCAGGAACTTGAGGGGTGCTTTGTGTCATTAATGTCTAGGACTAGCAGAACAACCACGTACACATATAGGGTCCTTTGTGTTAATTCCTAAACTCTGATAACGAGGGTATGGTATTAATAAAATCTCTCATTATTTGATCAATCCTGTCAGAATCATTGCAAATGAGGGCATTATTCTATTTATTTTTGTTACTATACAGATTTAGAGAAGTTTTAGCTCGTAAAAAATTATAGGTGATGGTCGACTGAGATATAATATGATTTTATTTTAGAATTTTTTATTCACGAGTTACGTAAGTCACCTTAAGCACGATATAATAATAAATAAGTAAACTTGTTTTTTTGGTTAACATGGAACCTTTCTAAGGTAGGACTATTTAGGGTCTATCTCTGAGAGAATAAATCTCACGTATCTTCAATCACTCGTAGATCACATGTATCAGTTAAATTCATGAGACACAAAAAAAATTGAACACCTAACGTTTGGATCCACGACTCATCCAGGTTGAATGGCATAGTGCTGGGCTACTTGTGCGGGTTGAATGAAATGAGTTTATATTAACTAATATCCACTACAATTAAAACATGACTAACTTTCTCCACAATTTTAGAAAAAATATTGGATGTAACGGTGATATCATGTCATCATTGACATGTAATGTCACCATCCAATAATAAACTTATAAATAAATATGAATTCACCCGCTCGGGTTGTATTTTACCATTGGACAATTATACTAGATCAACATAATGACACGGTGTAGCGGTTAGCCTACTATCTTTTCGAAAAACACTATATAACCCAAATCAAATTTAAAAGTTAAAAATAAAATGCATAACATCTCTTGAATGAGAGTGAAATGAATAAGTCTCACTAAAAAAATTAATAGAACTCATTCATCTAAAAGAAAATATTCATTTGAATTATTAATTTTCAAATTTTATTTAAATTTTGTAACGTTAATCTAATTTTTTCACAGTTTCGAGTCTTACCTGCTCCCCATTCGCAGCCCCACAAAAACACAAGGAGAGTAACTGCACGGGCTCAAAGTCTGAGTTAAAGACATCCGCATCAGCGGAGATAGATAATGTCTGTACGCGGCCTTGTAGACCACATTACATTTGAACGGTTAAGATCTTTCTAGGAAGCATCAGACTCACTACCTATAGGCTATCCATAAAAACAGCTTCTCACGTGGTTAAATTCCTTAAATTGACAAATTCACTGGCCTCTCTCTCTTCCCCCTTATATAAACCCCACATGTTCTTTGGACATGAAAAATCACGCACCCATTCACTTCAAGAAAAGCATCATTTGGTCTCTCCTCCCTCCCCCACCGCTCTCTCTCTCTCTCACATACACACACCCCCCCATGGACAACTGTGATGAATTCAAGCATTATTGGGATACCAATCTGTTCCTCCAAACTGAAGAGCTTGACAGGTAACCCCTCTCGTAACCCGGAAATTTTCTAGGTCTCCCTCTCTCTATCTCTCTCTCTGTGTATGTGTATGTGTATGTGAGTTTTCATGTCAAAGGGCATTGATGGGGGGGTTGATTAATTTATTTTATTGATATTCAGCAGCTGGGGAGCTATAAATTTCTAGTGCTCTCTTTGTGTGTGAGTGCAGGCATGTGAGTTTTCGTGTCAAAGGGATTAAAGGGGTGGTTGATTAACCCATTTGTTTGATTGATTTTCAGCTTCTGGGATCATAAATTTTCTAGTTGTCTGTGTGTGTCTGTGGGAGTTTTCATACCAAAGGATCATTGAGGAGTGCTTGATGAATCCATTTGTTTGATTGATTTTCAGCAACTGGGGATTAGAAATTTTCTAGTTCTCTGTGTGTGTGTGTGTGTGAGAGAGAGAGAGAGAGAGAGAGAGTTAGAGTTTATGTCAAAGGGCATTGATGGGGGTGATTGATCAATCCATTTGTTTGATTGATTTTCAGCAGCTGGGGAATAGATGAGACTGCTTTTTCTGGGTACTATGATTCAAGTTCTCCTGATGGAGCACAATCCTGTGCAGCCTCCAAGAACATTGTTTCAGAGAGAAACAGAAGGAAGAAGCTCAATGATAGGCTCTATGCACTTAGGGCAGTAGTCCCCAATATCACTAAGGTGATCCCATAAAAAAAAAGTTTTTTTTTTTTCAATTATTGCTGCACTTGGAATAAAATAAAAGCAGAGGTTAGTGTTTTGCTGCGCCATTTGAGGAATACTTTGACGTTATTATTCTTGGGAATAGGCGCATAATTTTATTTATTTATTTTTTAATTTTGATAAAGTGGGTTGTTGAAATTTCAGATGGATAAGGCTTCTATAATCAAGGATGCTATAGAGCATATCCAGCAGTTGCACGAGCAAGAGAGAAGAATCCAATCCGAAATATCGGAACTTGAATCGGGGAAATTGAAGAGCAACATAGTTTTCGACTTTGATCAAGAGACACCCTTTAATTCTAAGTCCAAGAAGAAGAAAATTGAGCAGTCCTATGATTCTGGGGGTTCACAATCATCTCCTATTGACGTTCTTGAAGTGGGTCTCTCTCTCTAGTCTCTCTCTCTAGAATTTGATTGTATCAGTTTTAGTTATTTGTTTGTTAATTGGCAGTTGAGGGTATCTTATATGGGAGAGAGGACTGTGGTAGTGAGCCTCACGTGCAGTAAAAGAACAGACACCATGGTGAAGCTTTGTGAGATCTTTGAATCTTTGAAGCTCAAAATCATTAATGCCAACATCACTGCTTTCTCTGGCAGAGTTTTGAAGACTGTTTTCGTCGAGGTCAGTCTCTCTCTCTCTCTCTCACTCTCTCGTGTCACGCACCTACACGCGCAGCGGCGCAGATCTTAATGACAACATAAAAGGAAGAACCCCTTCCAGAAGTTTCAAAATTCAAATCCCGCCCCTAGAAGTATCGATTATATAGGCTAAACCCCTCTACGTGTCATAATATCACTAACAAATCCAATGGGAGATGCACACAAGGAAAATGCTCTTTAAACCTAATTTAAGAACTTAATCATGAATTTTTGTGGGTTTTCTTTTTTAATGATGGTCAATCTTATAGACAAGCTTTTTGAGTGATTTGTCTTTGGTGGTGTAGTGGTAAGATCTGTAGTCAGTTTGCGTGGGATGTTGGTGGAGAGATTCCGTTTATAATTGGTGGTGAAGGTAGTAGTGAGATGGGGTTCTGTCAAGAATGATTGTGAATGTCATTAAAATTTGTCAAGAGATAAAATTTCTTTTGTCAAATTTGAGTTCTTCATGCCATGTAGAACAAACAAATCGAACTAAAGCTCCTCAATTCGTTTTTCTCATTCAACCTTTTGTCCAGCATGAACTTTCAATGGACCCATCTGTATTTTTTTTTCCCGATGACTTTACTTGTGTCTATTAGCTAAGCACAACTGATTTTGTCTTTTTCATTCTATTATCATTGACATTTATATATAACATACATACATGTGTATGTATCGTTTCACAAATTTTGTTTCTTCTGTTTGGAAACTTTTATAAAAAAAACAAAAACAAAATGGGACTCACACTATCTAATTATTGGGTATCTGTAGGGTGGTTAGTGAGATTTATCCCAAAAAAAACGAAGAAAATATTAAAGATTTAGTACTCATCTTTAAGATGTGTACTTCACGGGCTAATTTTGTGGAAAGTGTACTATTTCATTTCCCATGTTTATGGACTACCTTATTAAATTAATAATTAAATATTAAATATTTTAATTAAATATGTGGCTTAATTTTAATGCTAACGTTATTAGATTTAGAAAATATCTATTGCAAAGGTATCCATCCCAGACAGACCCAGTCATGTCCCAAAACCTTAGTATTTCTGGTTTGTGGGTCCCACACCTCTTTAATAAAAGTAGGTGATGCCTTCATTATTATATGAGGCCAATTATTGGCAGTGAAATCAGGGAGTTTTCCGGCAGACAAAGTAAAAATTAGTACCACTAAACTTCTTGTCCCGTAGTTGGGAGGGATCATAAAGACATATTACTATAGGAATGAAGACAAACGGGACTCAAATCTCCAACTTTACATTGAATCAATTAGCCAATAATGCAGTAATCATGAATTAAAAAATGATTTTTAGTTATAGAAAATACGTACTATAAAAGAAAATTCTGTTTTGTTTTCTTGATTAATGGAGTTCTGGAATATTAATAAGGATATTTCCATCGAAAATAGTTATAATAAACTGCCAATCACATAGACACAGACAGGCGAAAGTCATATGCGCAGGCGGTGCAAGAATGATAGTGATAGATCCAAGTCCTAGGAAAAAACGTTTAATGATGAGGATAATGGGCCAAAAGATTTCTATATGCCATTCAAATCCTGACACATCAGCAGATAAGAAGTAATCATTTTCATTTACTTTTATTTTTTTAATATCATTCAGTGGAATCCGCTTTGTGGAGTAATTTACACATTAGGTTGAGGTTGATAAGATCTTGACATGAATTTAACATTAGTTTGATTTGTTCTGAGTAAATAATGAATTAATTAGGTTAATATTAAACATATATAACTAAATTATTTTATTACACTATAAATGAAGGAAATTAGTATTTAAGTTAACCTTAACCCATAACGCATCGGCCTAAAATCGTGATTTTATGTTCAATACAAATTATTGAAAAACGAGTCAGGCCAAGTGTCAATTTTCTATTATTTGAAGAATTAATTCGTGTTTGACTTCATTTAAAAAGTTGAATTTCATGTGAAATTTGGTAGCTTGGATTAATGAATGCTCTTTTATAATATCTGAGCCTGAATCATTGTTGCAATTTCTTTTAATATATTTGTGTCATCAATACATTTTTCAATAGTATTGGGTGCCATTTTCTTATTCACCATTCACACCAACTCCAAGTTTAATTAAAACCTCTTGGAAGTTGTACCAATAACACCAGGGCTCCTAGTCAACCCCAGTTCATATCAAGTGACCCATTTCAGTCCATTTCTAAAACCTAAATTTATATAAATGTGACAAAGCATATACATAATAGGGGAAATTTCATTTTGCTCCTGAAAGGTTACAAAAATTATTAATTTGTCCCTTGAATGATTAATTTTTTCAAATTATTCTCTTAAAATAATAAAAATGTTACAATGTAGTCTATCGTCTTATTTTCGTTTGGTTATCTGTCTGTTTTGTGTTAAATCAATCAATCAAGAATCACAAAACAGACAAATGGACAAAATAGAAATAGGATGGTGGACCACATTGCAATATTTTTATTTCATTGAAGGGAAAATGTCAAAAAATTAATCATTCGGGGGCAAACTAAATTTTTTTCATCTTTTAGGGAAAAAATGGGATTTACCCTATATAATATGCTAAGCTTCCACCCAAGTTAATCCTTCTTGTTGGTTATATTTTTTTCAGGCCGATGAAGAGGAGAGAGAAGTTTTGAAGATAAAAATTGAAACTGCCATAGCAGCTTTAAATGGTCCAGAAAGCCCTTCGAGCAGTTAATGAATGGAGAGATCTGCGTGGAGAGTAACGCCCAGGGAAAAAAAGAAGGACTCAAAATAAGAATTAAATGTTGTGACGTTAATATAGCGGTGTATTTAGTTCTATGTTTTTGGGTCTTGTTTTTCGGTTGGTCTAACGTTATCCTTGTGTGTGAAATTGACCCAATAGATTCATAAAGAAAGCTTAGTGTTTTTTTGTCCCTTGAGTATGGTCTTGTGTTTTGCGTTTTGTGTTTTGGTCATCAGTTTCTCTTTGTATTATGTGATCCGTATTTTGTTGTTAAGCCATTAGATCTCAATGAAAAGAGGTGTTTTATAATTTGTGTTTAAACACTATTTTTTAGGTTATAAGACTTTTTTTTTTCTGGGGAGGGAAAACTTGAACTCTTAACTTTAAGAATGCAAAATTTTGACAAGATAAGAAGTACTATTGGATCAAATGTCCGTTGGTATAAGACTGATCGTACAAACTGTCACGAATAAATATTTTGCCACAAGAAAAAGAGACACAATTTTGAATGATTATTTTCACAAATAAAATGAACATATCAATTAAATTTTACATTTCTGCATCTACAAAATATAATAGATGGGTATGTGTTAATTGGAAAACCCAAAAATTGTCTACCAATTGGGGCCCAAAATAAAAAAAAAAAAAAAAATTCTGATTTTGCTATGTCTAGTGACACTTGAATATTTTATTCATATTCAATTTCTTAGTAGTTTTTATAAGCAAAAAATAATAGCATTATAATTAATTTTCAATAGTAATATATGCAATTAGGGATGGGATAAACAAATGACTTGAACTAAAAAAAAAAAAAAAGATTTCCTTTAGCGGGTTGATTTAAAAATTGTCAAAGTAAACATAATCAGTTCAACAAATTGATGAAAATAAAAGAACAAAAATAGAGACACAAAGAACTAACCACTGATCCGAACCTCAAAGACTGCGGAAGCCTGAGATTGACCCTTTAACCTGCTGGTTGGGAGTATCAAGGGTAGGGGTGTAACACAGACAGGTTGTGCGGATTAGAGCATCAATTCAGGCTCAAGTTGTAAATTTTATAATCTTAACTCAATTTGAGGTTGACCTTCAATTCGAGATACTCAAATCAAGTATTACCAAAGTTAATTTTGGGCTCAAATTAGATTCATACGTTAGGTCAATTTCAGGCATGACAAATAACCTAACCTACCAAAATTCAATAAAAATATAAATAACACTTCAATTTTGTGTGCATATATATTTATTGTAAATTCAAGTTAAAGCCAAATAATAAATTTGGGTTGAATTCTATTTTATTGTAAACTTAAAAGGCTCAACTCCAATATAACCTCAATTCAATTTGGATTAAGATTTTTTTTGAAAACTTCCCAAAAGCCCAACATTATTTTGTTGCGAAAATTGGGGCTTAATTCTCCTTAAATGACTTATAATAAGTTTAATATGTCAAGAAAACTTATTTCGGAATAAATCCGTTTTTAATCTTACTAATAAGTAGTTAAATCCACAATTTTTTTAAAACTTAAAAATATCATTCCTTGAAAGTAACTTTGAATTAGTTTTCTAACTTGAAAATTATTCTCTTAATTCACTATCAATGAAGATATTCTAATAATTTTTTTTACATAATTTTGAAATTCAAATTCAAATTCAAAGAACAATTAATATTTTCTCTTTATCTATCCCTCTCTCTCTCTCTCTCTCTCTATATATATATATATATATATATATATCATGTTACTACTGTTATTTTTTCAAATATTAATATTCAATATTATTATTTTTTTATTTTTGAATATTATTATTATTTTTGTGTTTAATATATACATACATATAGTAATATTAAAAAATATAGTAACGTTTAAACACAAAAAATATTAGTTAAACTCTTAAAATTTAAGAGTTGTTAGTTTTTAAATTTATTTTAATTTAACATAATTACTAGAGATATTTTAAATAATATAAATCAAAATAGAGTTAATATTAAACAAATTTTCTTAATCACCTTATCACCAAATAAATCTCGGCCTTCAAATTTCCCTGTTTTGTTCTGGAAAAGAGCCCCATGTAAGGCCGAACCTCAAAGTCAATGGGCCGGCAATCCAGTCACTCTGGACGACTACACAGTAACTCTCCCTCTCGCGCGCGCGCGCTCTCTCTCAGTCTCTGTAAATCCGACCGAGATAATGGAATTTGGTACCGCATGGATCCACTCCTTCCTATATCTCACCTTCATCACCACCATACTATTCCTCCTCCAAACCTTCTTTTCCCACAAATTATCATTAAATCACCAAAATGTCACTCTCAAAAAACACCCAGTCCTCCCTCTCCGTTTCAACTCCGATGGCACTTTCAAGATTCTTCAGGTCAGCCAAACCCACAAAAAAAATTGAATAATTAAGATTACCCAGAAATTCCTTATCAATAATGTTAGCACAACAGCTTGTATTTTTAGTTTTCAGATTGAATTATTTTCGTGGTGCTTAGGTGGCTGATATGCACTACGGAAATGGGATTATGACTCGGTGCAGAGACGTGTTGGATTCGGAGTTTGATCACTGTTCTGATGTGAATTCGACTCGGTTTTTGAAACGGATGATTGAGGCAGAAAAGCCCGATTTCGTTGCTTTTACAGGTATCTAATCTAATTTCCTCAATGAAGAATTTGAAAAGCGTTGCACCATCTGATGAATGCTGAATACTGTTTTAGTTTCTAAAAGTTGTTCTTGATTTTGAATTTATTCTTACTAGTAATTGATATGTGTTTTCTTTTGTGATCCACGATTGATTGAGATTTAACTGTTTGTTTAAAAGACTTCTAAATTGTTGTACCACCTCCTCCTAAAGTGTAGACAAACCCTCTAGCAACATTAGTTTCCTTGATTAGGATCACTGAATCCCTATAGCCTATAGGACAGCAAGGAATTGACAGTGGTGAATCCATGGTTCATTGTGCCTTCAACGTATCTGTTGGGAAGACAGGGGTCTAGCATCACAAGAGGCCCAACAAAATGTTTGGAATTCGGTCTCAATCTGACCTAAAAGCTTAAACATATAGGAGGTGAGCCTTTTCATAGTATATTAACATTTTTTCAGGTCTTTTCCCTTCCGATTTGGGATACCTTACCTCAAAGACATTTAAAATTCTTTTTATTGCATGCTAGTGTTCTTGAGTTATTATTACTGTTGTATTGACTTGATTTACATACACCATTAGAAATCAGATTTTGTACAATAGAGAGATAACCCAAAGATCCTGTTTTTTCAAACAAAAATAAGGATCAAAACGAATATATAAATCTCCCATATCATAATTAAATCTCTTCAGCAAGTGATCAATATAATGTGCTTGCTTTAAAGTGAGTCTACTGTCAATTTTTATGTAGATACGAAATCTTTCATGTCAAGTTTACAAGATAGAAAATCTTTGGTTTCTATAGAAACATCCAGATTAGCAAATTGGAGAAGATCAATCATGGATAGACGATATGCATTTGCTCTAGGCAACCTAGTGACTTGGCAAAGTAAGAAACAATAAGTCGTTGTAAGATCTAGTGTCGAAGCCTAGTTTAGAGTTGTGGCACGCGGGGTGTGTGAGTTTTTGTGGTTACAAAATATGTTGATAGAACCTTAATTTTGATTCATATGGCCCAATGTGATTTCATTGTGACAACAAAGTGGCCATCAATATTGTAGATAACTCAGTTCAACACTATCAAACTTCATATCTAGTAAGGTGTTTCATATCATTTTAAGCAATCTAGGCATATGTATTTTCTATGCACCAACTTGAGCAAGAGTATTACTATATGTAGGAAATGAGAATGATGTGTTATAAAACAAGTAAATTAATGTAGGTGCAAATAACTAATTCAAACAAATAAATTGAGAGATAGAGAGATGATGGAGAGATGTATATTTTCTTCAGTGTGTATTGATTCTACAACTTAAGGCCTTTTTATAGGCACATTTCAGCACTGTCGGTTGAAAGATGGGGGACAACCCATTAAATATAGTAACTATTCATGCATTGTAAGGTCATGTCCAACCATTATTTGGTACTATTGCTACTACTTATATATAGTAGTCATCCACATCATACTAGTATTTATTTATATTGTATTTTTATTAAAAGATGTAATAGTGGATTTGCAATTATCGTTGTGTATGTTGATGATTCAAATTTAGTAGGCACTCCAAAAGAGCTCGCAAAAGTTGTCAGCTATTTAAAAAAGGAGTTTGAGATGAAAGATCTTAAATAAACAAAATTTTGTCTTGATCTACAGGTTGAATATTTATCCAATGGAGTGTTTATGCATCAATCAACATACACAGAAAAAGTCCTGAAATAATTATGCATGGATAAATCTCATCCATTGGTTCACCAATGGTTGTTCGATCACTAGATACAAAGAAAGATCCAATTCGCCCTTAAGAAGAAGGTGAAAAATTACTTGGTCCTGAAACACCATATTTCAGTGCAATTGGTGCACTAATGTATTTAACAAACTGTACGAGGCCAAATATATCATTTGCAATTAACTTATTGGCAAGAAACAGCTCAACACCAACTCGAAGGCATTGGAATGAGATCAAGCATGTATTATGGTATCTCTGTGGAATAGTGGACATGAGATTATTTTATGTGAATGACCAAAGTCCGCAGTTAATTGGATATATAAATGTTGATTATCTTTCTGATACACAAAAGTCACGATCACAAACTGGATATGTGTTTATTTATGGTGGTATGACTATATCATGAAAATCATTTAATCAAACAATGGTTGTTACGTCATTCAACCATTTCGAAGTATTAGCCATATATGAATTAAGTCTTAGAATCTATTTGACTAAGATTCATAATCCAACATATTCAACAATAAAGTGGATTATCTTCAATCAAAGGTATTCCAACAATATTATATGAGGATGATACAGTTTGTATCAAATAGCTCAAGGAATGATATATCAAAGCGACAGAATGAAACATGTATTACCAAAATTCTTTTACACCCATGAGCTGGAGAAGAATGATGATATTAATGTTCTGCAGATTCGTTTGATTGAAAATGTAGCAAATTTGTTCAGTAAAACACTCCCACTGATTACATTTTAGAAATTGGTGAACTAAATCGGAATGCGGCAAAGATCTATCAAACTGAACAATCATCATTTTGACTAGATGCTTTCAACTGGGGGAGTTTTGTACTCTTTTTCGTGCGTTAAGGTTTTTTTCCCACAAGGTTTTACATAGCAAGGTTTTTAACGTAGTGCTTAGGGTCCCAACGATTTTATCAAAATCGAATTTTTGACCCTAATGTTGTTTAAATAGTCATCCAAGGGGGAGTGTTATAAAATATTATTATGAATTAGATGACTACCATACATAAATAGTACCAAATAGTGTTTGGACATGACCTTACAATGCATGAATAGTTATCATATTTAATTGGTAGTCCCCCATCTTTCTACTGACAAAGCTGAAATGTGCCTATAAAAAGGCCTCAAGTTGTCGAATTAATACACACTGAAGGAAATATATATCTCTCCATCCTCTCTCTATCTTTCAATATCATTTATCTCTCTCAATATGTTTGTTTGAATTAATTATTTGCTAAATTAATTTGCTTGTTTTATAACATGATGGGTATTTTTTGAAATTTTTTGTTATCAAGGGAGAGTATAAGTAGCAAGGTAACAGTTGGTTATTTTCTCTTGCCTTTTTTTCTGGTCAAGCCCAATACTCTGACTTTTCATTTAAACTATTTGGTTAAAGAGCATTAGAGAATTATAAACACAAGATTCAATATTAATGGTGCCAAGTAAGGTTTTGATTCACTTATTCGGCAAATTGAAATGAGGCAACAGAATTATAACCGACACTTCTTTTGAAAGGTAACAGTTTTCACCACACAGACATACGCAAGAGAGAGAGAGAGAGAGATGCCCATTATACAAATACATTCACATTCTAAAAGAGTCTTTCCCCAACTCTCTCTGCAACTAATTTTATTGAATTCTGGTAATTAGGAGATAATATATTTGGCACAAGCACTGTTGATGCTGCAGAATCTCTGTTCGGAGTTTTTGGTCCTGCAATAGAATCAAGACTTCCTTGGGCAGCAGTTTTGGGGAACCACGACCAAGAATCTACTATGAACCGCGAAGAATTGATGTCTTTCATCTCCCTTATGGATTATTCTCTATCACAGACCAATCCATCAGTCAAAGATACTTCTGATCCCACCAAACGCCGCCTTGTGCAAGATATTGATGGGTTTGGCAATTATAATCTGAGGATATGGGGTGCACCAGGTTCCCACTTGGCTAATAGCAGTGTCCTCAATCTCTACTTTCTTGACAGTGGAGACAGAGCTATTGTTGATGGAGTTCGAACATATGGATGGATTAAGGAATCTCAACTTCGTTGGCTTCGTACTCTCTCTCAAGGATGTCAGGTATAATGACAGCTCAATGCAAACATAATTAATCCATGCTTTGATTTTTCAAAGCAGCATCATGTTGTGGTTTGCTTGATGCACTCAAATTATGAATCAGGAAGAAAAATAATTTCACAGTGATTTCATTCACAAGCAATTAAAATATATTCTGAAGAATCTTTTAAAATATACTTGGAAACTCAACCGAGTAGAGTCTGAATGCCAGGCTGCATTAAGATTCTTTTTAGGAGACTACTCTTTCTTTATGTAACCAATTTCTTTGAACTCTGATGGGGAGGTTTTGTAGATTTAGAATTCATTAACCTCTCGCAGGTCACCCACTAACAGGGCCAAGATCTGGATGGTGATCAATCAGCAGATGTTTCTTCACTCCTTGTAAAACCCCCTGCACTGGCCTTCTTCCACATTCCAATACCTGAAATCCGTCAGAGGTCGTTCAAGGAGATTATTGGGCAGTATCAGGAGTATGTAGCTTGTTCATCAGTAAATTCCGGAGTCTGGCAGACCCTTGTCTCTATGGGAGATGTGAAGGCAGTGTTCATAGGTCATGACCACAACAATGATTTCTGCGGGAATCTCGATGGAATTTGGTTTTGCTATGGTGGAGGTTTTGGATATCATGGTTATGGCAAGGCTGGGTGTCCCAGGAGAGCAAGGGTCATCTTGGCTGAACTTGGAAAAGGGGGGAAGGCATGGATGGGAGTCCAAAGGATCAGGACATGGAAGCGACTTGATGATGAGGAGCTGAGCAAGATTGATGAGCACGTCTTGTGGACTCGTGGTCTTCAAGATGATTGACATTGCAGGTATGGGAACTGCATTCTTCTAATTCTACCATTTTATGCATTTTCCATGTCGTTATTCTTCTTCACTGTTGAGTTTAAGGTAATAAAAAGGGCAAATGGTACTTTGCCCCTGAAAGATTTTAATTTTCCTTTTCCTCAGATTACAAGTCTTACATTGCATTTTCAATTTTTTAAAATGGTTGCAATGTGCTGCAAAAGAGACACCTGAATTTCTCTAAAAGCTTTACAAATGGTGTGTTGTTTTTGGGGCACATTGCTACCATTTAAAGAAATTTAGGATGGAATATATGACTATAAATCTTGAAGGGTAAAGTGTATTTCTTAAACTATTTTAGGGGGCAAAGTGCCATTCGTAGTAAGAAAAAGCTGGATGCACAATGAAGCCTTAAAAGTAGTGAAATGGAAGTTCTTAGTGCAGAGTGGAGTGGGTGCTGGACACGGTGGAATATTTGGAGCAAGCAATCAAAATTCCCATGCAGTTCTCACAAAATAGCCAAAAAAGAACCTAGAAGTGTTGGATTACCTCAAGTAGAATTGGTAAATCATGGTTAAAAGTAAATTAAGAGGAAGAAAAAGAAAACCAATATGTGAGTGGATGCTTTCTGTTGTTGATCTTGTTCAACATTCGTGGGTTTTCTGAAACAGAGATGCCCAAGGCTCACACTATACATTTGAGAGTATGATGGATTCTCTGTGATTAGAAATATGAACGTGAACTCCTTAAAACCTTTATTTGGGACAGGTGGTGTAGAATTTAGATGAATGACAAGATTTTTGTATAAATAACTATCATTTTTATTATGAAAGAAGGTGGTACATCAGCAAGAGTGAAGAAAAGGGGGACAAATCCTCCAAACTTAAAATCATAAATAATAAGTACATAATAGGCTTTAGTTATGTGTAAGTCCGATTATAAGTCACATCCATCCCACCAAAATGTAAAACAACGGAATTTCCTCTTGGTGACTGAAGCCCCCCAAAATGCTAGAAAGTACACATTCTACCACCTCACGTTTGTTTTCAAATGTTCTTGTATTTCTTTCCAACCAAATGTTTCAAATTTATCAAGAATTGCGCGATTCCGTAGAATAATCCTTTTATGGTGCCTCCCAACACTGGAGTCCTCAACAAACATAGAAGAGGGCCAAAGAATCACCCTACTCAAATTTGCCAAGCTAAACTTGGTCGAGAAAAACAATACAAAAATAAGTGATCTACACTACCACTATCACATACGCCATTACAGAAAGTGAAAAACTTGAAGTGTGGTTAGTATTGATCTTGTCATGACCAGACTTGCATCTTAAATAGGCATTTTGGCGTTCCAGCATCATCAAAGATGGAGGACTAGTTGCTCATGTCCTACCCCTCATTTCGGGTCATTTAGTCTTCTTGGAATTGATATAAATGTTTCTGACAAAATAAAATCCATTTTGTATGCATGCTAAACTGGCTCGTCACTTTTTGAAATTAACAAGTCAACAAGCTCTTTCATTTACCCAGCAATTATGTGCTATGTATTTTTTGCAGATTTACCGTTGTTCCTCGATAACTATCGTGCTGAGCTGCTACAACAATTTGTCAAGGCGTGCGGCTTTGGAAGTTGGTTTGCTTGTTTATGCATTGTGAAATGTTTCTGTACCATCCGGTCTTTTTAGTTTTTGGTGCCGATTGTTGTATGAATGCGGTACTTTCTCCATTGGAGTTTGTGTGAACTCTTACACAACGTTCATTCTTGGCATTGTTTCGTGTAACTGTAGCACAAAATTGGCTGTATAAAATTGTTGTACTGGCGAACGGTGTTCAAGAAAAAGTATTTCAGGTTCCCACAAACACTCCACAGACCCCTGCCCCATCATTTCAGTTTCTCTTTTGCACCCTGTTTCGCTGATAATTGTTTGGTGCTTATGGGACGGGACGATTTCATGTGCACTGGAGGAAGAGTCCCTTTGTTTCGAAGGCTTGGATATCTCGTGGTAAAACAAAAAACAAAAAACCATATGATTAGTACCAGGTAGCAGCTTCCACAGCACTCAATCATATGGTTTTTCTACTTTTACCTTTTTCTGCCCATCTTTTCTTTATTGATAGTCACAGTTACAAGCATGTCGCACTCCCCCTCGCATGTCTACAGTTTTTGGACCCCTGCTGTCTCACTTCTCTCTTGTACACTTTTTTGGCATACTATGATAGGTTTTTTTTTCAGTTTTCCTAGTATTTTTTTAATTGAAGTGTGGTTTACGTATTTGCTTTTTTACTCATCCTGATTTGTTCCTCTTTCAAGTTTAATCATACGTATGACCAACAAATAGATCACACTTATGTGGGTAATATTATTTGCATACTAAGATGCCTAGAAATCAGTTTGGCAACATAATAATGAGACATGTTTACTTTTTTTAGTGACTTGTTAAAAAACTACTAAAAAAAAAACATTACCCACCAACAGATCAAGTGCTCCTTCATTCTATTTAGGTAACATAGTGAAATGGGGTTTCAAGTATTTTTTTTTATTCATTTCAGTATGTTTTCAAATTTGATCCATTCCTTTAATCGCAAATATAATAATTCAAATGCACACTTGTAAATATATAATTTATGCACTAATACACATAAATTACTTATCCAAAATAGTAATTACTGGTTTATGATATTTTTATGTACATCATTTGCTTCTTTTTTTTTTTTTAAATAAAAAAAGTGTTAATATAATTATATTTTTATAAAAAAAGATTAGTTAAAGAAAGTACAATAGCTAAACACATATTTGTTTTTTAAAGCAATTTCTTTTTTTTTTTTTCTATAATTGCTTTTTCCCTTGATTGGAAAAGATTTTTGACTGACAATGGTCATAAACTACACATTCAGTAAGAGAACCAGCAAAAATAAAGTTAAAACTATTAAGGCAGCCCCAAAATTTGGAAAATAAAAAAAATACATCAGCAGAACAAACTCAAAAAGACACAGCAACATCTACCACTAGAGACAGAAACAGCAATAAACATCTCCCACTCCTCCCAAATGTTAATGTATTGAAAAAGTGGCAGCAGCAAAACTAAACTTACATTTCCTTTCTATAGCAGTAACCAGCTATAGCCAAAAAGCAGATTGAACAGTTGAATTTCAGTAAAAAAAACAGACCAGAGTGGGGAGTCTCGTCTACTGAGCTGCCCAATTGCCAAGTTGGAGGACAATATCAACATCCCTACAACTACCCAGGTCGCACTGCCTGCCCCCATCCGCTTCCCTCCTGACAATTTCAAGCACCACATTTTAAAAAGCAGCCACTTTCTAGAGCTCAACCTACCAATACATATCATCCATAGCAACAGGTCCACAACTAGGGTTTGCATATCATAATTGAAGTCTGCTACATCTGCAAATGTGAATGAGATGTTTCAACTGTCCACCCAACTATGCAATTACATATTCTGCAAGCCTCAAATTTCCCCATTGGTCAAACTCCACCGAGTTTGAATTTAAAAGCAAGTTGTCACTGTATCCATGATAATACACAAGCAGCAGCTAAAAAACTTATCGAATTACAGCTCACACTGTGCTATTTGTTTTGTCGGGGCTGGGGCAGCAAAGCAATACCAGTGTTATAATGGTGTACCAAACTGGTGTTTTACAGTAACTAACAAACAATAGAACTAAAAACCTCATACCCAGTACACAGCACTACTTCCTTTGCTACAGGACAAGGGCGGAAGTTAACCCCTCTTCCTACCTTGAATGGAGGGCTGGTTAAGCATCATTCCTCTCGTGCTGGGAAGGAATTATTGAACATATACAAAAAGAACCTAATCCTATTATGTACCCCAATTAAGAGCCAGTAGAAGTAAGTACTGACAGGTACTCCATGAACATTCCAACTAGCAACTTGAAAAAGTGGGTCTAGAAGCAATTTCACTTCCATTTTGGAGGTTGATTCCCAAACTTGAATTTGCAACATATCACTTGAGCAAATCCATTGCTATGTCCGGACTCTAACTATAGGCAGCACTAGAAACTTCACAAGAATGTGGTGACACTAGCATTACATAATAAAACACAATTACTATGACCCGTAATAGTCACATTGATAATGAAAACTATTACTACATGCGCGTGCCATTATCATCCAATCACATTATTTTTATAAGAGCGCTACGGTACAACACCGCACACTGGACATTGCAAGTACATATATAAGGTGGTTTGCAAATGCAAGGAGTACAAAAGTATCAGCCTGAAAGTACTAGTGTAGGAATAATAAATAAGCTAAGTAATTATGTGCTGAATTTTTGATAATGCTATTTATATGTGAAGAGACATAAATTACAATAGTACTTTGGGGAAAGGTTTCAGATGTTCATCTTTCCTGATGTTAACTGTAGGAGCAAGTGACAATGTTCCAAACCGTGACAAATTACCATTTTCCAATCCAGGGGAAAGTGCCTCAGATAATCCTCTGTGACTCTCAGTTACATGTTTTCATCAGTACAAAAATGCATGGAAGGGTTTTAGTATTTCATAGAAGAGCAACATGAGAGTCATTACTCCATCAGTAAGGATGCACACAGAATTTACAAGTTACAACATGCAAAAGTATCCATTAACCCAAAATGGCTTTGCATTTCTATTAACATAGATTTTCTGTTAAGCCTTGATGACTCATCAGTCCCTGAGCAGCACACCTGCAACATCCTTATAGCTTACTTTCCGTTTCTTTACAGGCTCTGGACCGAGATCTAGAGGTGGCTTTTCAACTTCAAGAACGGGATCTATCCTTTCGATTTTCTTCGTTTCAAGGCTTGATATCATGTTCGGTGGAGGCATTTCAGCTTCAGGAACAGGAACTGTACTTTCAACTTTCTTCATTCCAAAACTTGGTATCATGTCTAATAACACAGCATGAACTGGGTCGACCATCATTTCCAGCTTTCCAAGCTTCTCACTGCATTGGGCAATATTCCCATCTCCTGATCCAATTCTGTGAACTTCATCAAAGCATTCTCCACGTTTAATATCATCTGCAATCTCTTGCCCAACATGCCTGCCTCTTTGTGATATATCAGAATCTTCCACCATCTCATCCTCTAGGATTCCTGGGCAAGGTTTGCCTGCCATTCCATGGCTTTCATGATTTCTTCCTCCCATTTCAGACTCTTTAACAGCGTTCTCATCTGAACAGGCATTAGTATCTGATTCATTTTCATATAATATCGCAAGCTTGGTTCCAATGCGTGTCCTCGTTCTTCGAGCCTGGGAGACCCCCTTTTTCCCTTTATTTATGCCCTTACTAGGGGGTCTTCCCCTTATCCTTCTTCCATCTGTCATGGGTGAGTTGATGATTCTTGGCTTATCTAAGATAGCTTTTCTTTTTCCCAGATTTCCTCGAGCAGTTGACATAATCTGTTTCTCTACATCGGCGAAGCTAGAATTATCGCCCAGATCAAGATCACGTTTGCTTCAATAGAAACATAGAACACACCATAAGTTAAAACACTGCCACATTCTTCCACTTCAACAAAAAGGGGACAGCAAATGAGGAGAGCACATATTGGTAAGGTTTAAAATGTCAAACACCCTGGACGCAATCTAACCCATTCAAAAAAAATTATCTTTTTTAATGAGGACAAAGACATGGGCGCCACAATAAAGACACTTTATTTAATTACTCTGAAATTGTCTTTACCCAAGGAGTTCAAGGTAAAACACTTGAGCAACGTCAAATATTTTATTGGAATAAAGTTGTAAAACTGAATATTTCAATTTGTATTTCCCAGCAAAAAATGTTTTAAACTTGTTAAAGGAAACAAGAATGCTGATTTGCATGTGTCATGATACTCTGATTGAGACAAATCATTTTATGAAAGGTGATGATACAAACAAGCCCAGCAAGCTAAACTATATGATATAACCGAGCAGATATTGCCTGTATTGCAAGCGTGGAGAGTCATGTTATACAATTTTGCCACCATCACATTATTATTCAAGTATAGAGTCATACACAGATGCAGATTGTGCAAGATTAGTAACAAATAGATAGTTTATTATTTGAAACATTCGTAGACAGCCTATTGTCCCTTTGTTGGAGGCAACTTGCTGGCTTGGAATAAAGTTGCAAAACAATAAGAGTTGCAAGATCCAATGATTATGTCGATTTAAGATATGACATTCATGTGTGCAATTTCATGGTTACTAATTATGTTCTAGAGCCTGATGCTGGTTCATGTGTCCCAATTAGACTTTTGTTGTGTAAGTGATTGCTTGGATGATATCTCACGGTAAGGTAAATACTTGTGATGTATTGCAAAAGAGAAGGCCTACCACTTGTATTTCTCCTTATTAGTGTTGTGTAAGAAAAGTTGTGAAAGTGTGAATCAATTGTTTCTTCATTGCCCTAAAGCTTATTTCTTGTGGTATAAGTTGTTCCAGGAGGCGGGTTTGGTGTGGGTGGAGACTCCTAATTGTGCATCTCTATTGGTTATGTGTTTTGATGGTTTTGGAAAGGGTAAGAAGCTTTCATTTTGTGGTGACGTATTACTTTGGCCATTTTTTGCATGTTGTGGATAGAAAGGAACAACAAAATTTATGAAGATAAGGAGGACGAAGAATTATTATGGGATAGAGTGAAGTTTTTGGCTTCTTTTTGGACTGTGGTTACTAAAGAGTTTCGTGTCACCCCTTTATTAGTTCTACAACATAACTGGATGACTCTTTGTAGATCTTAATTTGTTTTTTTATTTTTTTTAATCTTGTAAGTGGATTTCTTATCCACTATTTTTGTAAACTTTTTCTTTTTGAATGAAATTTCTATTTTCCTATCAAAAAAAAAAATGAGACTTTGTTGCAAAAATCTAGTGACCATCAATATTGCACATAACCCACTTCTTCAAGTGCTTGGTTACTACAAAACAAAACATATGATTGAATGACATTTTGTTAAAGAGAAACTAAAACCAGGTCTTACTGGCACACTCTTTTATGAAACATGGGGAGCAGTTGGCAGATGTCTTGACCAAAAGGGCTGGCTAAGGCATTTCTTATGCATCAGCTTGGAGTGTAAAAATATATAATAAAATAGAATGATGAACATTCTTTTCATTTTCAGTTATCTTTTTATTCTTATCAATAAGCTACCCCTACGCCTGTACGTTAGATAAACTCATACAGGCAGACAAATATGATATAGTTTTGCACTGGATGGTTATGCTCTTCCAGAGAAAATTAATGCACTATTGTTCTCATTGACATCTATAAGCAAATTATTCACAAATATCAACCTATTTCTGTTCAGAGAAATGTTAAGATACTAACGAATAAGTAAAGAAACATATAATCACTAGGGCCTAAGACAAAAAATATGGGACAGCAAATAGAAAGTAACAAAACATAATTAGAGCAAAAATATTTATGTTGTAAAGATAAAATGCTGGCTGAAAACAACTAAAGCTATAGGACACTATTTTACACAAGACTGATAAGCTATGAAGCATGGATACTTCGTTGAAGTCGGCGTATTCATATCGGATACCTTATCGGATATGATACTCGTCGGATATTCGAGGATACGTATCGGATACACCTCCTACGTATCCGATAATAATTAATATTAGGATACTTCACGGATACTTTTGTGTTCAAACAATATATATATATAATTTGAGTTGAATTTTTAACATTTCCTTTCAAATTTACACACCATACAATACATTTACAAAATTCATACTACTTCAAAGGCAGATGAGTATTTTTTAAGAATTATCTACAATTACATGTCAAAAGAGCATAAAATAAATCTATTACATTACAGTTTTAGCAAAAATTATTTCTAAATAAATCGACTCGGTAAATATTAGTTTTGATTCCTTTAATTAATCACTTCACTTTGTGAATATACCATAGTAATACGATATATATTTTCTTCAAACTAAAAAGAATTACTAATTTTTCTTATTGTGTTAAATAACTACCAAAATATATAAGTATTATGCTGATTGAAAATAATAAAAATATTAAATATATTTTATTATAGCTGTATCTTGACCGTACACATATCCTTTTTTTATAGATTTTGTCGCATTACTGTATCCGTATCGTATCGTACCCAGACCCATATCCGTATCTGTATCCATATCCGTACTTCACAGCTGATATGCAACCACATTCTTCAGTTTAGTGACTTTAAGAAGCCTCTTCACAACTGCCAAGACTTCTCCAGTACCCACCCTCCCTCATAACTACAGACATTCTTTACAAGTTCATCCAATATCGATAACTCTAAATATTATCCGTCGACTAAACAAAACCAGTTAGGGCAACATGTGCACAGTTTACATTTTATATTACAGCTCCAATATCTACAAGGAAAAATAATATGCCACATTCTAGGTGCCAGTCCGTAGCATGAACTGTTAGCACTAACCTAGTCATATACACTATAGGGATTTTGTTTCCATCATGCAATGATCATAAGTGCCAAGCATAGTTCCAATGTAGTTGTTGAAATTTTCTCACGCAAAATTTTGATTTCTAAACTACTAAAGATTTCCAAAACCATGAAAAATTCATAGCATAGGGGACTTGCATAGGAGGTCCTTCGGAAAATACACAAAATTAGCAGGAATCTCAAAGCATTGATCGATGTACATATGAGCGTATGCATAATCAGCAGGAATCTAAATGTATTTATCGGCATAATAGGAGCATTCCAATAAAAGCATGTTGACTTACCACTCTCCAATAGAGTCTCCTAAACCACTGGGCTTCAAACTATATGTCTCCTCCAGCAACTTCTGGCCCTTCTCTAAGCTATCTTCCAACCACTGAGACCGAACAATATGCAACCTTCTGCTAAGTAAAAGATGCTTCTCTGCTGCAGAAAAACTGAGAGAGAGAGAAAGAAAGATGATTTTCATATTACAAATGATACCATGATTTAAATGACATTGCTATCAATTGTAGTCCACATTTCAACCATAATTAACCATTCTAGCAACATAAGAAACAATTAGGGGCCATGGAGGGTCATTACCTAGTTTCCCATTAATCACATATGCTAGGAGGGTTGGATTAGATACTAAGATTTTACATTTAGGCACAAAGCACTGCTCTCAAATTCAAAACCACAACCTCACGGTTTGCCCTATACTTCTACGGTTCTATCACTGTAGCAGGCAAATCTCTAGAGAGACAAATGTCTTTGGAGAATTTTATTGCTTAACTCGCTTGATATTTTAACAGACATACGGATAATGTAACAATTAGCGAATATGATTGGTTTAGCACTAATCGACATATTAAAAAGCAAAAACAATGGGACCTTAAATAGAAAGATAGGAAACAGAGGTGAGTATAGATTTATGAATTAACTATACATGTTTTTACCTTATAATTATAGTTTTTCTTACATAAGCATACTAGCATTTATCAAAACAAGAATGAAACTGGGACCAAAACATGTTTAACCCTTCTCTGGCACACTGCACTGCAACAATTGTTCATAATAGCCCATAGTAGTTGTTATTAGAGAGGGTGTGAATTAAATATTAGTATTTCAACATACTCCCCCACATACCGGCTAAAGTTTGGGCCTAGCACGTGAGAAACTTTTAATTATTTATTAGGGTGGCGGCGAGATTCGAACACAATACCTCCTGGTCTAATACCAAGTTAAACAATCATCTACTCTAAAAGTTTAAACTATTAGAAATAGTGTAACTTAAATATTTATACTTCAATAGGATTGAATGTAGATCCAATTATAATGGAGGTGCCAAGCACACAACTTTGTGGAGGATTCTACAAATAATGAAAAAAATTGATAAATAAGCTTTCATGGATTCCACAGCCAAGGAATATATCATGTAAGTAGTTCCATTACTACTTTGGGAAAAATTTATGATCTTTCTTTGACTTCATGATGAATTTTTGCTTACCTATTCGATATTGCATCGAAATCCACATCAAATCCAGGAAAAGACATGACCAATAAATGCGTAGCACGTGAAAGATTGTCACTGACTTTGCCACCACCCATGGAGATTTCAAGTTTCATCCTCGTCAGCTCAAGTTCCAATAAAACTTTCCATTCAGAACTGCTTTTGAGTAAAATTGGAATCAAATCCATCATACCAGGTAAAAATTTCATTAGTTAAAGAGTGTCAAACAAACTTGAGAGAAGCTTACCAAGATGGTTTTGAGAGGTGGAAGTAAATGCAGCAACCATAAAAGTGAGACCACTTATCCTTTGGACAGAATTTCTGCTTATAGTAGTCAATAGTCTTGGAGTCTTCAATTCTACGTATGCTGCTTAAAAGCTGAAAACAAAACAAAATTAACCAAAATTGAAAGAAAATGATCAACAGCTTCATCTAAGCATATGCAACAAGAAGTATTCATGGGGATATGATTACAGAGTGTCCATAGAACTACTCCTTATTTCCCCCCCTTCTCCAGATTTTGCAAAGGAATTTGCACATTAGTTTGCTGATTTCACGAATAGTGACAAATGCATGGTTCTACTTAACTATACCTGTTTGATGTCTGTGGTGTCAAGATCACAGTAGTAAGAGTCCGAAAATTCATCAATTTCTTCTTGTAACTTTTTCTTTGAAGAGTCAGAAAGGAACACAAAATACCTTGTAGAGAAAAGACTATAGTAATTGCACTATCTTGTAAGAATGTAACATCTAGAGTGACGTGAGAATAGTAGAGCTACTAACTTCGGCTGTAAAGGTAGGAGCTTCTTTTGTGAACAACAATCAAAGAGCCAAGAGTAATGGATGATATCTCCGCGACACTTGGCTGCCTCAAACTTGATCCCTGCCAGAATTTCCCTTTACAAATAAATCTTCCATGCAGTATAAGTGTTAAAACATGCAAATATGAGAGAGATAGAATGAGTAACATAGTGATGCTTTGCTGCCTAAACCTTTGCTTTCAGCTGTGACACAATGAGAAACAGAGTTATTTAGATTCATCGAGAAAGTTCCCCCATTCTCAACCACCATTTTGTGTAAGGAATCTAGCGAATGACCTGGAGGAAGATTAACAAAGTCTATACATGTCAAGGAAGTTTTGGTAGTATGACCCAAAAGAGTTTCAAAATTTATGCTGGCAAAGCCTCATTGAGTTACAACAGCACTGAATATGGACATTATAAGCAACTAAGAGGGTAAAACATGTTCACTGCTTTCACGGGGCTTACTGAAAACCCCTGGAAACCTGATATACCAGTTCACTGTTAACAAAACATGCACATTATGCATTCACATTCTTATCTTCCCCACCCCCACCCCCCCAAAAAAAAAAAAAAAAAAAAGCATACTAGACATTCATAACTTCATATTACAATGACTTTTTTGTTTTACTACCAGCTTCTTAGAGTACAGTGTAACAATTTAATGTGTACAGACTTGTGAAGCAAGTACGAATCTACTCTTATACACGTCCAACACAACGCGAGGTAGCCCCACATAAATACAACTGTTGGGCATAAATCTGATGCAAACACTACATCTTTTAGATGATTAAGTTGGACCCTAATCAGTTTGTGGAACATAAAATGAAGTAAAGATTTAGCAGATAGGGCCATAGGATACAGAACATCATGTTTGAAAATATCAATGTTTCGCCTTTGACATGAGAAACATCGGTCTGCATGAAATGAGAAGGAACCACACAGACTTTCTTCTTCTCCCCCCTTTTTGAGGCTTTCATGTGTTTTAGTTTATCATGCTGCACAACTCCATAGTCTGCCCCTCTCTGTGTGGTACCGTTGCTTGAGTGTACCAATTCTACAAAAGCTGTGGCAATGGCATAAATTGATCAAATGAAAATGCACGTGGCACATAACAATAACTTCACCTAATTTATTAAGCCATTAATTTGATAAAAGAGAAGGGCCACAACCACATAAAACAAAAGTTCGGAATTAACTCGGACGAGTACAACCATAAAAGCTTTTTGATATAGGTCGTCTGCTTACATTGCACATCGAGGCATTCATGCCAAGGTTTGTCATATCTCACTCTGTCAATACGTGGAAATCTTAAGCTGTATGGTGCAGCAAAGACCTGAGAATCGAGAAGAGAAACTACGATAAGGTCAAGGAATGGAGATTGCACAATCAAGTTACATAATTAAAAATATGTGGTCTCACTATGATTGAAATTTACTTAAGCAAATTAAATTTAAAAAAAAAATATTTTTCTAAGGCAATACCTCGGAACTTATCGTTCGAATATCACTGGTAATAGAAAGTATAATTGATCTGCATTGCATAAAAGGAAAAAAAAAAAATCAAACACATTTATATAACAAAAGCATATTTCTTGTAATCATACTGATAAAATTGCTAACTTTTCGGGGCTATCGACCCAAACATCTGGCCTCTCCTTTGAGTTATTTGTAACTTGATAAAAGCTTGGTGGGGCTTTCTTTGGGTGTTCATTTTTCCTGCAAAACGGGTTGAGTATTTTGAGAGCTACAAAAATATACTCCAATGCAAAATACAAATCATACATGAATTAGACCAGGAAATTTTTCTCATATTCAAGTATGGTTTTTGGCTCACATCCCCAAAAGCTCTACACGTCTGCTCCTAGCCAGCCTAATAGGCTAATAATGTTTGGGCAAACTACATTAGCACCTCCTATAGTATCTTATAATTCCAAGAAATAACCTCGTAGTTTCAAAAAATACAGGGCACCTCTGGCAGATTCCATCGTCACCAACATAAATGAATGCCTTTTTCCATATTCTACCCTTAAACTTATACATTCCTCCAAACAGTCCTGCATCCAAATACCCTTTATACCCCATTTGAACAAAGTGAATACTATAACCAAACATTTCTGCTCCAACTTTCTTCCCCCTCTTCTCACCCACTCCCCACCTTAAGGCCCGACACCCCTCTCCCAACATCCACCTCGGTAGTTCCCAGCTCCAAGCCACTTGACTCTAAGGCATGATTCAAAGTATCGGCCGATATCGATAAAAGTCAGCCGAGTCATATCCGACTCAATACCTTCCAAGTCGATATCGTTACATGTTATGTATAAACACTGAGTCTTGCACGACTCAGCCGAGTTGTATCCGAGTCAATCTCAAGTCGTCAAGTTATCATCATCGAATCAGCTGATACAGTTTTACGATGCCGCGATATGATCTAAATCTCTTGTCATATTCAACCTTTTCTTTTAGGTTGTATCATCTGATACCGTGTCGCGACACCACTATTGATGCATCTCAGACCCCTCCAAGTCGATTATCTATACCGCGACCTTGAACCACGCTCTAAGAGGCCCAAAAATTACATTTCAAAGAACCACACCTCTACTAAGCAACGGGTCAAAGGTCTAAAAGCAAAATTTTTTGGCTGGAAGATTAGATGGAGAGTGAAGTTACGAGAACAAAATTTAATCCATACTCAACCTCCTGTACTAGTGAGGTCAGATCCATAATTACTTTTGAATCAGCAATTACAGTAACCATAGCTATTGTGGCATTTTTTTCTATGGCACAACTTGCCCTTTTTTGTTTCCTAATTTGCTTTGTCTTGATCACACACTTTTCTTAGCCAAATGGTTTGACTATCTCATATAGATATGTATTTGTATGCATAAGCACATTGCTAACACCACAAACTAGAGAGGGGAAAGGCAAAATATTCTAAATCCATAGTAGACCACCATCAACTCCCCTCTCTTCCACTCCAGTAGTACAACCCTACTAGTTGTGTGAAAGAGGTCTAATTTGGGGAGGATTGGTTGGCCAGGTTCGGTGGAGTCAATTGGTGCAAGGGTTAAATAGGGGATCTAGATTCCAAGAGAGAGGGGAATGGGGGTGAGCAAAGGCATAATCCGTTTCCATGGCCATGCAATGGATTATGGTAAGGTAAATGATCTGAGTTCCAAGACAAGGTCCAAGGGTGGGGTGAAAAGGTTGAATGTCACTTAACAATCAAGATGTTTAGTAACAATAGACACGAAGTTAGCAGAGAAATGGGAACATGAAAAATACATGAGAGAGATATGGATGAAAAGTGGTTAATTGAACCCTTCTCAGAAACAAATGACAAACATCCAATTGTCACTCTTACTTTATACCTACTAGAATATGTAGAGCAGGGAGAAAAAAACTTGTCATGTCATTAGTGGCTTCATAATCTATTATCTAAGGAGTACTTGGGAATGAGGCACTAAATGCACCATCAAACATAAATATATGAGCAAACCTAGAAGTAGGAGCATTAGAAGAAGAAGTAAATGAAACATCAAGTCGAGCTACCAAAAGACTAAGACTTTGCATGTCATCCTAAGCAAAAATTGTATGAGTATTGCCCCTGGAGTAAGATAAAGTCTAAAGAGTTAGTCAAATAAGCATGGGCATGCACCGTATCACCTCCACAACCTCTAATTTTGGTGCATCACTAACATAGCTTTTTTTACCATCATTGGCATAAATTTCTAAAAATTCTGGTAGTAATCAAACTCCTATGATAAGAGTGATAAGAGTGGTCAGTGAAGCATAATATCAGGCAAGGGGCTTACTTCTGGTAGATCTCATGAACTTTTTTTTTTTTTTTTTTTTAATGGTCATAGGCCTTAGCATCGTTGTCCTTTGAGAGTTTGTGTGAGAAACAACCATCGAAAAATCTTGCAGAAATATCAAGCAGCAGAAAACTACGACAGATAGAAAGTTGCATTACATTAAAAACACAGGATTCAAGTAGGGCATTTTCAGAAGTCTATAGCTTAAGGAATGAACCAGCTCACTGGGAATCGTGGTCTCTTTGTTCAAATATCTTCCATCCAACTTCTCTAGACCAATTTCAAGAGAGTATTTAGTGTCCACAAAAGACGTAGGATGGCTCTACCCACTTCACGTATTAAAGGCATAAGTCACACTAACGTCTAACATAACCACATAATTTGCATATCACGGGAAAGCATGCACAAGAAACAAGTGTGCAGGACTATTTTTGAAGACTAACTTTGAATCGTAGTCAAGCAACAAACACCATCTGCAGACCAATATAGAAAATCCAACCAAACAATCCCCACTGGCTTCCCATCATCAAATGTAGCCAAAAATCCAACATCAACAAAGCCTACAGGACAACACTCTTTAACCATAGTCACACAACATAGTGTAGGAATGAACCTTACCTAGTAGCAAGGATCAAAAAATCGTTTCGAAACGATTCCGTTTCCAAGGAGGCCGAAACGAAACTGTGATGGAATCGAAATTCTAATATTTCAAGATGTTTTATAATATTTTAATGCATTTACACAATTATTTCGGAATGTTTCAAGGTATTTCAAGTTACTTTAATATATTTCAATCAATGTTTTAAAAAAATAATTCATAGATTTTTATATCTTTTTCATTATGTTTACGAAACGGATCGAAACGTTTCCGTTTCCTAGGTGATTGAAACAACGCACTGAAACGAAATTTTAATCCTTGCCTAGCAGCAAAAGGACTTACAATATCAAAACTTCACCTTCAGACTCCAATGCTACCTAAAGACTTCAAAAGTAAAAGAATCTGAACAAACCTCTTCAAAAAAATCACATACAGAATAACCCTAGATCTAGGGAAATATAGGTGAATCAAACCATGTGTCTTCCATTCAATTCATCATATGGGTGCTGACATTAATAAGTCAGATCTTAACATCAACATCCCATAAAATCTATTAGACGTTTTACAACATGTATTGAGAGCTCTAAAGGTGTTTTGTTTCGATTGGGGCTCTAGTACCCAGTTCGCTCATGATATTCCATAGTTTTAGGATGAGTGAAAGGTTTGAAAAAAGAAGGAATATGAGAAGAAAAAAAACACTGAATGAAGAGTAGCGCATTAGATCACACAACTATGCCCTAAAGTAAATATAAACACAAGCAATTAGGCAAAGTAATAAAATAACCCAAACCTAAAATAAATTATAACACAACAATTTTTAATGCCACAAATTTGGCTGAGCTAATAAATGGACGGACAATTAAAGAGATCTTATTTTCCTAGCTCTTGGCTATTTACATCATCCCAAAGAAAGTTTTTCAACAGTTTCTCAAACACCATTGTGGAAGAGGCCAAAATCTTACAAAGTTCAACCTATTGTAACTAAATAGTACCTAAAATAAGGCTGCAGTTTGGTTACAACAGAATCAAGCTCCTCATCAGAAAGTCCAGTTCCCACTCTGCAAAAAGAAATGAACCTGCACAATGACACAATGACACAATCAGAATAATGGATAAAGCATAAACTCCTAAAGTACAAAAAGCATTATCATACCAAATGGTTTAATTTTTTTAACAAAACAAGGTGAAGTACACAAAAGTGCCATGCAACCAACAATGCTTGGTACCGTAGTTCTGTTTACTCTACGTTTCCAGTATGATAATGACAGCAATGGGCCAGAATTTGGTTACAAATGGGTTGCTTAAAGGCCTAGTCCTAGAGTGAACTAGGACCCAGCCTTTCATAGGGTTTAGCCAAAAGCTAAACATGTTGTTCAAGTAAATAGCAAAAAATTCTATAATGACAAAAGGCGGAGTCCTCGTTTGGGTCCAGTTCAGTAGACTACAGGACCCAAATCACAAACAGAATTTTGAAGGTGCTATATTCATGTTGCTGACTGTTCTAGCAAAATATTTTCTTTTAACCCTAATCATCTAACCTAGGCTTGGAGAAATTGATGACTCTAAGTCATATTTGAAGCTCCTGCATCAAAAGGCATCATCTTTAGGGTAAATAAGTAACATACAGGGGCTGGGGGCATTAAACAAAGACATGCATCCAAAGGCCATGATGAGTGTTAAGAAAACAATATTGGGTTTAAGTTTGGCCCATACATAGACTGTCAATCTACATGAGTGCATGCACAAATGCAAATGGATGCCCAAAGGAACTATAATAACTGGCAATAAAATTTCCAAAAAAATAAGTAAAAGATATGGGATCTTTCTTAGAAAGATGAGCAACCAGTAGAAAGAGTGATATTTTACTAAAACATTTGGAAGGAGGTAACCCACTGGAGCTTCAAGTTGATAAATGAAGCTCATTGAAAAAAGTATGAGAACCACTTACCGCCTGGAATATATACTTGGCGCCGAGTATTTCAAGTTGATAAATGAAGCTCATTGAATAAAGTATGAGAACCACTTACCGCCTGGGATATGTATTTGAGGCTGAACACTCAGCGAGGCCCAATAGAAATTGAGCCACCTTCAATTATACACGAATATCCAGAAGTTACATTAAATGGAACAAAAACAGACACACACAGACAGACACAGAGAGAGCAAATAACTCATGGGACAGATGGAATTCTCACCTCTCCTCCCCGACGTCCAGAGCCGTAGTAGCCTCCTATTCAGAAGCAACCATAAGATAATAAAAAAAAAAGTGCAATTCACCGTTTGGAGGGGAGAAAAAGCTGAAAGAGAAACAATTACAAACCTATGATGAGAGCATCTAAATCAGATCCAGCACGTATGTACTCAGGCTTCAACTTTAGCCACTTTCCACTCCTATCACTCGGTTCCCATTTAGAGCCAAAGTCTTTCAATACAATCCCCTCATCTCTAAGGTGAAAATGAGTTTACACATAAGAAATAGATACACCAACAGTTCATAACTTACTCAGGTTTAGAAAAGCTCTCAATGATCACGGACATCATTCAGGACAATTGTTCTGACAACCAAATGATAGGATTTCCATTTGAAACAGGAGTAGTGCAGATGTGCTAGTGACTCCATTGCCAAGTTTACCGAACAAAACCAATTCCAGCATCAACTAGGTACCTAAGCTCAAGCTAAGGTGAATCTAACTTAACAACTAATGAACTGATCTTTTAAACTTGTCAACTTAAGAAGAAACCAAACCAGCTTTAGTTTAGTAGTTTCAGCTTGGGCTCACTTGCATTAAGAACATCAAGGACGTGTGTATGTAGGCATGAAATGACAATATAACATCTTTGTTAGGCACTGCGTTCAAGATTTCAACTATCTAATGGGCATCGATAAATTGAACCACAAACCTACAATGTGACTTGTGACACTTACCATCACTCAACAAAGACATTAGCAACAGATGAGATTTTGGATTTGGAATGACAAAACTGTACAATATTCTGTTTACAGATTACAAATTATAAATAAGATTAAAATGCTAAAATTACTAAAAAAACAAAATTCACCTCACTTATGCGATTTCTTAATATTATTGTGAGTGTTTATTTGAAGTAAAACAATTTGCTGAATATAACTATTTAAGATATTTAAAAAAAATTATAAGATCATTTCAAATTTGAAAAGCAAAGAAAATGAAAGGGTTGGGCTTTTTGATGAGGACAAAAAGATAATGGAGTTGTGGAAAGGTAAAAAATATATAACGTTGTATTTAAAAAACTTGCTAAGGGTAATACAAGCAATCAAAAAATTTTCAATATAGTGGCATCTATATATAGTACAGACATGGATACGCCAGAAGTATGGTAGTGAATGAACCATGCCCTCAGAAACTGGTCAAGGCTACAGCCAACTTTAACCTATAATCAGCCCAAAAAAAAAAATCTTACATGTTTCTAAAGATTTCATGCACGCCATTCCCAAGTGGTTGCCGTATAAAGATCCCTTCTTGAAGATCACTAGGTACGAAGAAATGAATATCTGGCTAGTCAAGAGCCAGGCTTTGATAGTTGCTTTAGACCTCAGTTCTCAACCCAAATTAAGATAAGCCATAGGCAAAAGATTCAAAGTAGTCAGATTCCATGCTTTTTACTATATTCTCCCATCACTAACCAAGGTTTCTACTTAGGGGTCCCATAAGAGTTATATATTATTTGTTTAAACCTGAAGATTCTTTGCAACCTTCTTGCTACCATGCTAAAAGGTAGACCTCTAAGTATCACTTCGTTGCAAGACAACCATCTCCCACAAAACACCCTTACCATTAGGATGGTGAAGCACTCAATGGTTCAAGGTTGCACTTTCAGTCATCGAGTTAGCTTTGATCATGCTATCGTGGAAAGGTGTAAGGCCATATGCATGAAATACTACACAAAAGAAATTGAACATGAAGAGGTTCAAGCTATACTGTGGCATCGCAGAACGATATCAAGTGGGTTTCCGCAATTCGAGGATGAGGATGATAACTCGGCCAACAAACGAGAGTCGAGAGAGATACTTGTGGTTTATCAAAACAGACGTGTGCCTAGTCAAATATCACTTGGCTAATTTGTACCAGACTCATCCAATTCTTTGAACTCTGATGCAGTCACTAAATCTTCAAGGAAATAAGACTTAATTACAAGCTATTCATGGAGAATAACTCTGCTGCAGCTGTAGGGCAAGCAGTGACATATATAAAGGTTAACACTGGATCCTTTTTTTTTTCTTCGTCAATATATAAACAGAAAAGGATAAATACCAATTTTAGTTTCCTGTTCTCTCATGTGAATTTCCTTCTCTCCTCTCTTTCTTCTTTCTCTTGCTTAAGAAAATTTACAATTATTCATTCCCACTAGATTTTAGATATTCACGTGGGATTAAAGTTTAATACCACTGTTTTCTAAAAAATGTGTCCTCTTCTTGTTCAGCTCATATGAAAAAACTGATTATAAGCCCAGTCAAATCATATGTTACCTTCATTTAGTTAGCTTGAAAACATAGTTAACCGATGTTAGCATGAAATTATAGGTGAAAGATGTTTGCATAATACCAAAACATAATACCATGTTTTGGTATAGAATGTTTATACCAAATTGCATCAATGATGTACTTGTCCTGCATTTCGTGTGTAAATGACATGAATGCACCCTCTACAAAACTCTCCCCAACTTTGATAACTAGCCTCCTACAATTGATCTGTAAGAGTACTAGGAAAACTGAATGCCAAAAGTATAACACTGTAAAACAATTTTAGCAAGACCAACTATCTGTGATTACCTGACATTAGACTTAATAGGACACCATATTCTATGCATTAAATAAAAGCTCTGTTGGAATAACCAGTTGGACTGCGGATTAAAGGAAAAAGATTGCAGACCTGTTCTCTATTGTCTCTTTGAAAAATCTCTCAACGTCATCAACACTGCGAGCAATAAGTGACCAACATGGTTCCCCTGTATGGCCAATACAAGTAAGCAGCAGTAGAAAAGAACCTAGCAATTTCGTTTGAGAGATAAAGACGGCACCACCAAAAATAATCAAACATGCAGCTTTTGAAAAATCGCCAGTAAAATCCAAGGAATAAATTATGTGCATCTTTTCATGACAAGATTAACCTGCACCATTTTACTTAAAAGATGTGCAGCAACAACAAAAATTATGAAGATATAATTGAAAGAACAGGTCAGGCTTATCCAAACATTTGAAAAGTGAAAAAAAATCAATTAAGAAAGTTCAAGGTATCAAATTAATGTTCATCATATGATCACATTAATTTGATGTATGTGGCTTTCTTAATTACTCTGAATATTTGTGGATATACATATCAAGGAGAAAGAAGTAAAATTATCATATCAATCATCAGACACTAGTATCAGGTTCTCCAAACCAAGGCATGTAAGGCCATATCAAAGACACAAGAAAAGGCAGTTGGACGTCAAGTTTAAGACTCATGGTTGGTGTGGTTTGGAAAAACTTACCCCAATAAGGACAGCTAAAGGAATTCCCAAATATAGGAGAATGCACAAGACTATCTTTTTGTATGTAAACTCAAACTGCAATTAGTCAATATAGAACTGAACTATGCACGCACACATTTTTTGTAACTATTCCACAAGACTGATTAATGTGGGATGGTTTTAGACGTCAGCAACATATTAAAAATGCAGCAGAACATACAGAAAAAAAACCCAAAAAAAAAATAAATTTGGGGCTGATTATGGTTGGTACAAAATGCAAACGCTAAAGGCTGCTATGCATGCCGACCTTTGAACAGTAAACCAGAGCTGTTGAGGTTATTTGAGTGCTTTAGTTAATTAATCGGAGAAGGCAAGGCATTGGATTTGTGAAATAGGATACAGAATGTATCAAAGGGAAGGACAAAACTTTCGGAAAGACAGAAAATTAAGAGAAAAAGAGGGAAGAGAAGAAGAAGAATAGAGGAAAGGGAGCACAGCCACACCTAGGCAATCAAACTAGGTTCTTAGGCATCATGCCCAATAATAATTGCATCACACCTCGTGGAAGAATTTGGGGGAAGGACATTAACTTAGAATGAATATGACAATCTCCATTTTGAATTTGAAGAGGGTATTTTAATTCTGAAATGTTGGACTCTAGGATAAGCTCCATTATTTTCAGTCGAGCCTTTAAATAACGAAGTCCCATCTTCGACAGGACTTTCCTTTCCAAGTGATAACAACCTTGCCACTCCGTTCCACAGGCCCTATTACTCGGGAACTTGCATTTAATCTCTTAAACTTTTTCTAAGCTTGTCCACTACATACAGAGTTCTAACTCATTAACAGTGATTAAAAAAATGCAAGGAAGGGGTTAATCTTATAAGTAAAAATTATTCTGTTTGCCTATCTATATTAGCTGCACAGTTGTTTTAATTCCTCTTTTGAAATAACCAGCAGACAATCTAATGCCAAACAGATTCGGGATGTGGACTCGAGAATCAAATAATCAAGACTGACGGTCAGGCAACCAGCAACAATAATTAGGCGCTACATAAACAATTTTGGAAAGGCTTTACGTATTCAACATGAACATTTCCTATTACTTCCAAGTTCCAACACAGTTTTTACACTCCCTATATGACCTCATCTCTTCTTCTATCTTGCAAAAAGGGGGTTTTGAAAGGGGAAATCATAGGTTGTTGGAACAATTCAATTAGGAATCAGTTCTTGTGCCCTGAGATGTTTATCTATTGCAAACTTTTGGACTTTTGGATGAACCAAGTCACGGAAAGATGTCATTCTCACACTAGGGCCCGCCATCCAATAGCTCCACAACACACCTGGGGCTGCCGATTGTTTCAGAATGCATGCAACTAACTCTACAACTTTTAACAGAAAGCTAGGGATTCCAAATCTGATACACAAGTCCTTCGGAGAACATGAAAAAGACTGCTTTGCTTTGATGATCCACCAAACATTGATGACTTGAAAAAATCCTACCCAAATTGGCATTGGAATGAGAAGTAAACCTTGTATAACCCACATGTCTCGAATGGATATTCAAGAGCACTAGGCTTGTATTGGACCTCTTGATCACTATCTCAATGCTTCTACAGGGATAATACAGTTGGTTACAAGTTGCAAAGTAGTCGGGTTTAGAGTATCATGGTTTTTTGGCGTCTAGGAAACTATGATGCACGGTCGGATATTGTATTGGATATGATACTCGAGGAATATGCATCATATGTATCCAATAATTAATAAAATATGTAAATACTCTGAAGATACTTCTACACATGGAGTAAAATGTACAATTTTTAATTTTAATCTATACACTCTTCTTTTGAGCTCACATACAATACAAAACATCAACAAAATTCTATTTGACTTAGAAGACACGTGTATTTTTTAAGTATTATCTACTATTACATGTCAAAAGAGTATAAAAAAAAGTTAGTTATAGTATAATCTTAGAAACAAATACTTGCACGCAAATATTCTGATTCTTTTAATTGGTCACATTCACTTTATAGATGTATCATAATGAGATGATATTACACATTTTTCAAGGTAAAAATTGTTAATTTAGCTTACTATTATTAAAGAATTACAAAAATTATAATTTTTTAGACATTAAATGAGAGTAAAATTTAAAAAATATTTTATTATTAACATATCTTGACCATATCCGTATCCTATTTTTTGAGGTTTTGTTGTATCCGTATTCGTACTTCCTAGAAGGGAAACAAAAGTTTCATCTAAATCAATTGCTCCCTTTGTGTAAAAACTCCAATAGTCAATCAGAACAAACATCCTCATCTTAATCATCATTATGAAAAGACTTCTAAGAAATACAACGAGATTCTCATCTTCATTTCAAATACAAATTTCCTTTTGGAGGCTACGCTTCACCACATTTATATATTTTTTAATTTCTTCATGAAACCTCCAAATATTTATTTCGATTGACATATGGTCTCTACAACTCTTGCAAGAACTACATCATATTTCTCATCAAATTGCTGGTCTATTTCCAAACAGCGCGATGGCACATGACCAACAAAATCTCAAGTTGACCCAATTTACGAAAGTTCAAGTGGGCCCCACAGATTCCAACATCAAGCTTGAAATTATGACGCCCCCATCTTATGCGGCATAAAATATCAAAGCCCTTGTTGGAATTTGGGTGCCAACAAACAAACTACACTGGTCTCATCTCTCTCGGGCTACCCTCCTGTCAAAAGTCATCCATAGCCTTGTATGAAAACGGCACATATACTACAAAGGCGACCTTCAATATTGGCAATTACATGCTGTTAAAAAACCATGTACATCAATGGTTGAAACCAATGTCTTCCTTGCTCTATTCCAATACAATAAATAATGGCCAACTATTGTTCAAGGAAAAAGATTTGATCATAACTAAAAATAAGTAAACAATATATCTATTCCAGGAAACTTTTTTTACCAGAAGGTCGATGAGCATTAAGACCACCGCTAGGAACTAAAATTTCCAAGCGGCCCTTTATGGGCCTCACAACCTTGTGAAGAAGCTCATGCCTTTCTTTCAAGCTCTGGTGAATAACACTTGTATCTCCTGCATAAAGAATGTCAAAGGCAACATCTAGCCATATCTCTTGTTAAGGTAACATGATCAAGTAAATCAAAACACTCAGGATAATTCCAGGAAGTAAGTGATTGTAATTGCCCCAAACATATTCACCATCTAAAGCAAAAGGCCGCAATTGAAAAGGCCACACTTACATCTCTACATCAAAAGAACCAGATGCAAGGAAAGGATACAGCACAACTGCATCAGGAGAGAGCACTATTACACTTTATAACAGTATTTCAAATCTGAAAACAAGTTAAACAACATTAAAATTAGTATAGAAATAACAACCTGCCGTTCACCCTCAAGTCCCTCCTTTGCTGCCTTGGCTGTGAGGTGTTGGTAGGTAATATCAAAGAAAACCAACAATAAGAATGATGAAATGATGTGGAAATGAACATACGTTAAACAAACCTATTTCCTGATTTGAACCAAACTCTGCAAAACAATTCATGGATGTGTCCCAAACCAACATTTCACCATCAAGTATACACCTGACAACACCAAAAAAGAAGAATAAGGACATGAAAATAGGTTAATAGGCAATGATGGGTAAAATACTTTAACTATTCGTGAAGGAAATTTAGATCACGGCAAAGTCTAACGGACCAGTGGACAAACTCCTATATTCGTTCGGTGCACACTGCCGTACATGCCTTTGGTAATTAGAAAAGATGAACCTTCCAAGGTGAGGCGGGGTAAAAGATGAAAAGTCCATGGTTAAGCCACAAGAAATAGAACAGTTGAACAGTTTGCTGGGCTAGCACATGCACTTAGCTTCACATTGGATTGCCTTGCAATAGAGTTGGGTAAACATTTTTTTTTTTGGGAGGGGAAAGGGGATAGAGGAGGGAGACTTGAACCCTTGACCTGAAGAAGGCAAAACCTTTACAAGACAAAGAGTATCATTGAACCAAAGGTCCATCGGTGAGTTGAGTAAACATAAACCCGAGACATTCTTGCTAAAACCAACACAAGAACCTAACACTAACAAATTGGTAAAAAATAAATACAAGCGTATGCATCCCTATCTATATTTAATTCCCATGAAATTATCTAGAAGAGAAGGTGAACAATTGTCAAGAATCATGAGGGGAACTCATTCTCTAATTGCGTGAGAGATTAGTAGTCTAACACGATACCAGAGCTTTGGTTCCTTCAAGTCATGGGTTCAAGTCTCTGTCACCCTATGAAATTGTTAGAAGTGTTTTTAGCCTTTTATTTTTTATGGTTATTATTATGGAGGGTATTTTCGTCAATATAATATTAAACCTATACATAAAAGTGACACGAGAAAGACCCCTCCCAACAGCCTCTTCCCAACAGCCTCTTCCCTCTCTTCCTCATCTTTTCTTTTCTTTTCTTATTTTTTTAACATGGTATTGAGCGGGTTACATCATTCTTAAGTTTATCAACACACGAAACCCAAGAGTTTCAATCTTGAGGAGCATTTATTTTTAATTTTTTTTTCTGTCCATAACAAAAATTACAGTCATGGTCAACCTTAGGCAAATCTACTACATGTGGTTTTTGGGAACTTTTTTGAAATTATTTGGTGCCTCTTTCCTTTTTATATAATTTTCAAAAAAAAGGGACCTATTCATCGAAGAAATCAGATCTGGCCACATCAGGTGATTTCAATGCTTAGAATAGCTACTATAATTGTTGATTACCATTGCCCAATGATTTCCGTGCGATTCAAACACATTACTATGGAGTTTCATGACTTCAAAGGGCTCAAAAGGTGTTTTTGTGTATTTGTGCTATGACAGTACGCTCGGCTATTTTATGTGATTGTTGCGTAGATTAAAAATACCTGCATTTCTTGTTATTTTTTTGGTCTATTAGGCCATTCGGTGTGTATCTGGGATCTTGGAAAGATATTGAAATCAGATCAAGGATGTCAGAATCAAGCACGAATCTCTCTGAAACAGTCAAAAAGTGTTGCAAGTCAGGTTGGACTTCAGACTGAAAATCCTGCCCTATAGATTACGACACAAAACTTGATGGCCATAATTGTCTAGCCCGGTCACAGTCAACTACATTGTTTATTAAGAATAACAGAAAATGGGTTATCTGAGTGATGAAAATTTGTTATGCTTACCAAATCATATACCAACTTTTGTATACCAAATAAGTTGGTGTGCATGGTTAGATAGTAGGGTTCACTAACTTCCACTAAATATCCATTACATAGGATTTTGCCACATCATTTCACATACAATAATTGGTAAATAAATTTGGAAAGCATAGTTTTATCCTTTAACTGATAAAGTACAGTAGGTTGCAACCCTTTTTATGATAACTGGGAGGTTGAGAATTCAATGCTTATTTCTTGGTTACTCCACTCTATGCAACCAAAGATCAATAATGGTTATCTGTTTCTTCGCACTGCTAGGGAGATTTGGGAGGCAGTTTCGTAGACCTACTTGAAGATGAGAAACTAGGCAATGGTTTGTGAGTTTCATAATACTGAACAGAGATATTCCTCTTTTGGCGACTTTGGTTTGTTCCACAGATGCCTCAAAACTACAGAAGTTAATGCAATAGGAGAGGATTATTCAATTCCCTGTTAGCTTGAATCCTAAGTTTGATCAAATTAGGATTGAAATCCTACAGAAGGAGCATCCCCTTTCTCTACATGAGGTATAAACTTATATTCAGTCATAAGAGAACAAATGAGGAATCATGCTTCACCCTATGCCCCAAGAGAGTTTAAGTTGGTTGTTGCTGCTTCTCAAGATAATCGGTTGGGAAGTAAGAAAGCTTAGAGAGGATGTGCAAACAAAGCTTAGAGAGGATGTGCAAACAATGTTACATATGATAATAAATAAGTTGTATTGTGATTATTGCCATAATCAAGAGACTTGCTTGAAACTACATGATTGTCCTCAGTTTGGAGTAGAGGAGGACGCTTGTGTGGTAGATGAGGATTTTGAACCCATCTCAGTACAGCAGTGTACACTCTGTCACCTTATCTTGCTTCATCTTCTGCAGCAAAGACCTTACTAAGGAAAAAGTGGAGAATATATGCCGCCTTATGTCAAAACTAGAAACACCTGCCACTGCATCCAATTCTTTTGTCCATTCAGGTAACCTAATTACAACATTAAGTACAACACGTAATATCCCCTCTACTAAAAGATTAATTCAGGAGTCTGACAATATTACTAGACTTCCACTTTGTTCTAATCAGGAAAATAATAGGTTAAAGTAGTTGATGGTTCCTCGCCTTTTGTAGCTGGTAAAGGTTCTATTCCAGTCACTTCCTCTCTATCTCTCTCATCTATTTTACATGTTCTTAACCTTTCGAATAATCTTTTTTTCTGGCAGTAGCATCACAAGAAAATTAAATTGTAGTGTAGCATGTCTTTCAAGACCTTGTCACGAGGAAAACTATTGGCAGTGGTTAAAAGAGAGATGAACTTTACTTTCTGAATTTCCATAGTTTTGTGAAATCCACCTAATCCATGAAGGTTGGAGTAGCTGGACAGAATAGGTTGAAATTATATTCTCTATCCACACTTGGATGTTATAGCTGGGGTGTAAGGTGGGACTAATACGATGTGAAATAATTGACATTGATGTACTTTATTGGTGTCATAATTGTGCAGGGATTTAACTGCATTGCCTTATACCAATGCAATCTCCCATGTTCCAAAAGAAATGGGCAAAAATGAACATTAACCATTTATTCCATCAGTAGGTTTTACAAACCTAATTCATCCCAAATCACAGGTGTTAAGTTAAGCTCTAATATGGGCTGTGATTTGAAATGTTCATCTCAGGATCAAATAAGAAAAGATAACAATAAAAGGCCGAAGATCCCTAACCAAAAACAGTTAATATGGGTTTGGATTAGTTTACCAACCCCACCATGGTATCTCACCCACACTCCCAAACCAACTATGCCCCCTGAATTTGTTTTGGGGATTAAAAGGTGGTATATCTCAGCGTTTTGGTGCTTAAATGGGATTCATAGTCCCTCATGCCCTGCACAAACTAATACTATGGGGATGGTATTGTAAGTCAATCCCGTGATATGAAACAATAATCAAGATTTAAAATTGTAGAGGGATGATTATTAATACTATGTATTTTCTCAATTTCTACTCCATACATTTATAAATATGATTCTATGCTAGGAGGATAAATTCAACGTGACATATATCAGACTGGATTATCCATGGGATCGAAGGTTCAGCCCACTTCACATTGAAGCTGACCCCAAATTGTTTTTTTTTCGCAAGCCAGTCCTGTAATCCTATCCTATGTTATCTAGTCAGGGATGTAAAGCATTCCTTGAGTGGTTATACCGCATGTTGCGAGTTGGTAATGCTAATATAAATAGGTAGAGATTTTATAATGACAAGAAAATGATGGAATAAGTGTCAAGACATTTTGATAACAAGACATGTCAATCTAACGCTTCTCCTTCATTGGATAAAATCTATAGATTGTATGAATTAAAATTCCTAAAAGTCTATATACTATATGCGTCCCTAGATAGCCCTGCATTCAAGACTTAAAACCCATTGCCAAGATCAGGTAGTAATATAGAGTGGCTATAATACTCCCTCTAGCATGATCTAGAAAACTTAACACAGAGAGAAAAGGCAATAGGATGGTATCAACTTGGTTTCTACTCCTTACCGGTCAACTAGAACATTCTGCATAATAATGTCCGACATTCCATGTTCATATTCAGGGTGATCATGAAAGTTCCTGCAACAACCACCAAACAACAAATCACATTAGTCCACCAAACGGAAAACAATATACTTAAAATTCTACCTGGAGTTAAAAAGGTCAATAATAATACAAATGTGCCCTATCCTACTAATTATCCTCATTATTTTTGTAACAAGAAAGATCTATTGGCAACAAGATACAAATGATAACTGACGAAGAGCATCTGATAACTATAAAGCATGCAACTACCTTGAGAAGTACTGTATCTCTATTCCGTTTTTATGGATTTGGATGCGGTCACCATCAAATTTGCACTCAACAACAACTTCCTTCCCATGAAGCTAGACGAAAGGAGAGTAAATGTACACAAGGAAAAAAAAATAAAGCAGCAAACGCGTACTCTGATGTAGTGTAATGAGGCATAAACTTCTCAAGAGACAAAAGCTAAAAAGAAACAAATAGTTTTTTATCTATCCACGTCATCATCATATTTAAACTTTGAGATGCAATGAGAACATAATATGTGCCAATACAGACCTTTTTCCAAGCTGTGGCTGCATTGCCAACCCTCAGAGCTAGTTGAGGTCGTACAGGTTTTCCGACTTCTATGTCCTGAAAGAAGAACATAAGCATTCCACTATAAAAGTGAAAATCACATTTGTTAAGAAGCACATTGTGATAAGACATTAAGGAACTGATTAACATCATCAATTGAGAGGGGATACTCCGTACCCTTGGCCCCCCACCCACCAAACAAAAAAAAAAGCACAAAGAAAAAACATCACTTGCCCATCAACGATCCGTTGGGGAATGTTTCCACCTCAAGAACCAAAAAAAGGGTACATACATCTTGGGGCTGCAAATCAAACTGGTTCAACCCCACTCAAGCATTGGAAGGACCTAGGCTCCCTTCTTTGAAGTTTGTATAAGGCTTGAGCAGAAGACTAAACCTGACTACAATTAGAGTTGGGCTTGGGCCAAATCATTGGACAAGCTGAGAACAATCTCATCCACATTGTATCAAACACTTGGTTTTTAAAAAATGATAGGCACCAATCTTGGTTGTAACACACTAAAAAGTGGTGTCTAAGCTAAATCTCCCTCTGTGCATATTATTGATTCAACCTAATTATGCTTGTTGGATCTCATTTAGAAAATGTCAAAGTGATGGATTCACCACTTCACTCAGTACGTGATCGGACAAAACATCCCAATATGAAACTATGTCTAAGTAAGTCGAGCAACCCAACCCAAAGACAAGCTTATTAAAATAAGTGTAGGATAAGCACGTAAAGTGGACGTATTGAGCTCGGGGAGAGAGAAACAGCCAGATTGAGGCTGTTTCCTAGTCTACATTGATTCACTTTCTTCATTGGAAAATCCTACAAGGATGCAATTTGGTGCGATGTCGTAACTACAATGGACCAAACCCCCACCAATCACTGTGTCACCTCTTGCTTGGACGACTATGGCAATTCGACCGTAAGGTCATTCTCTTTATTGAACAAGAAAGAAAATAACACGTATACCTTTTGGTTGGAAGGTTGTTGCGATATGCTTTAAATACATGGCAGTGAACAGTAAACCAGAACGCTTATACAGTATCACACCTAAAAGACGAAATACAAAGGAAAGACCAACTACGCTACGGATTAAGATAAGATCATCACACCGTTAAGTTTCATCAAATGTTGATCCCCACCCTGTCCAGTTCACAGCTCTTATAAATAATCAGCATATAGCATTGGAGGTTTCTCTCTCCCACACCACATCCAGTTTGCAGCCCTAATAAATAATCACCACATAATAACTGGAGGTTGATCTTACATAATAATTCAAAACTAAACGAATCCCATTTTTACATCTCTTGTTAGGTCAGAGAGAAGCTTCGAACGTTATAACTAGACAAACCAAGAATAATACTTTTTTGTGACGCTATCAAATCACACTTAGGTCTGACATTACAGACTCCATTCCATTTCCAAAAACTACCCACGATCAAGAGACTTATGTCTAACATTCACACGGATAGCACAAATTCAGCTTCAACTCAGATTTACAAAGATGCATGCACTGGTGGCCTGACAAATATATACAAACCTCTTATAAGAAAAACTATATCCTTGCTTATATAGCATATGACAAGCAAAAGATGACTACAAATTCAGTCCAATACTTGAAGCAAACCTGGCGTTTATGTCGTTGACTGCGATCCCTCAACTTCTCGCAAACTAGTTTTAAGTCGCATGTGACATTGAACAAGTCCTCAGCATCCGGATGAAATTCATGAAAGATGCTTTTTTCACTGATTCCCAACTTAAGATCTGGATGAAAGAGGATTTCCAACAGGGGAACGAAAAAAGAGAAAGATAATAAATAAAATACTTTCAATTCAAACACACCCTAACAGAGACTGTAAACCTTAATATGTACCTATCATATACCTTTAAGAATTACCATAATTATCCACTTCATCTCCTGTGCGTTTGTTTTCTTGATCAGATCAGAAAGAACAGAAGTCTTCTCCGCTCTGTTGTAGTAGTTTGACAATCAAACCAGAATACCAATTGAGAAATCCACATATACGCAACATGCGGAAAAGCAATGCCAAAACTTACACCCTTTATAATCACAATAATAGCCAGTATCAAGATTGTATAGATATTTATTACATATATCTATTTGTCAGTAGGGCTAGTTCAAAATTTTATTTTCCTTTTTGTAAGACTTTATACATTTTGCCTGTTGTACCATTTCTATTCTGATGGAATATTAGGGTGTTCTTCTGGTAAAGTTTAGGGATTATACAAGAAAGAAAAATTGTGGAAGAGATGTTAGACGAGAAGAAAGAGTTAACCCCGCCTCTCACTCTTAATTTATACTAGAGCTGGTGGCACATGCATAGCATGTGCAAGGTATTGTCGACACTACAGAATATACTATTACTGATACGTTAGTGGGGAGCTATATCTGTTACAATATAAACATGAGGGGCACTTTGTGTAATTTAAGAAGGACACTAAGACTTGCCTGCCCTAGTAGTAGTTGCATGTGCAAATTCATGCATCTGGAAACTGAGAAAGAGAGGAAACACACCAATCACAGTTGCATATATGAGGGTTTGTGAGGGAAGCAGTCTATCCATAGAGATATAAAGAGAGAAGGAAGATTAGTGTTTGAGTCTTTGAGAGTGAAGGAAGTATTTGAGAGGGAAGGAGTCAACCGAGAAGGATAAAAAGAGAAAATGGGTTGACGATTTAAATGGCATATTGGAGACAGAGGACGTGGGTTATTGGCAGTTACAGATAAATGGCACATTTGAATACAAATCAATTAATTCCAAAACCAAAGGAATAATTATTACAATTAAAAGAAAGAGAAGACCCCAAACCCACTTCTCTCCCTTTTTTATAGTATAGATACAGATGTCACAATAAACATAAAAGACCAGGATACCCTGTAGTGGTAATAATAATTACAAGATTAAGATATACATATACTACTTTAGACTATTTAGCACTTATCCTCAAGCTGCAATATGTCTGTTTTATAACAATGAGGAAATGACTGCCAGATGATTACGACTCTAAGCCTTAGCAAACAATTCTGCAAGCTGATCCTAAGATTTCACGGATGGTATAACAAAATTCCCACCATCCCACCTAGTATCTTATCCCTGCTGAAGCAATAAACTTCAATAGATAGTACTCTAATGAAAAACTAGTTTGGAAACTATGTAAAATGTTGCTTGATTATCACAAAACAAACTAAAGATGTGTTTGAACTGAAAAGCAAATCTCCTGAAAGAAGTGTTATAACCATGTTACTCGCTAGCAGTATGTGACATTGCCCTGTAGTTAGCTTCTACACTTTAACTGCATTTACATGAGAGCATCCATTACAGTTTCACAGGGTTCAATTGTAGGAAACACAATTTTCAAAAAATTGAAGCTGCCAATTGCCAAGAGCAAATGACCTGTATCATATCAAAAAGCAAAGCAGGAACCAACTAGCAGGGACAAGGCTTCATCAAACTGACTCTACACATAAAAACAAAATTGCCATTGGCAAACTCAATCTGCAAAATGAATGGCATTCATATTTCATCTTTGACAGATGAGCATAAAAAATTATAGAAAACGCTAATCAAAATTATAACTGAGACAAGTTCCTTCAAGCAAATAAACCATAGGCCTGATCATATTTTGGCAAAATCCTACCTCATTGTTTTTGCAAATCTCAATCAGCACAAACATTTAGTAACAATGTTGGACTTTCACTAATCAAAAGCATATAAACAAAAAAACAAACAAGAATCACAAATTAAGGTCGAAGAGCAAATCAACCATAAGTATAACATTGGTTTGTCAAAGGCCTATCACGTCTTTAAGCATAAAGCATCGTAGCATCATCTAACCATTGTACATAACTTTCCACTATAAACTTGCTCCACAAAATTGCTAATTATAGTCTCCACTGCATCTTACCAATTGGATATCCCTGTAATATATATCAAATGTGGACAATTTTTCTTTAAGCATGCACATCATCTTACGATGCTTAGGAAAGAAAAGATGTATTAAATGTTTCCAAGTAAGCAAGACTATATCAGCTTCCAACTGTATAGCAAACATACCATATACAGACACTTCCTTGGAATACTTCCAATGTGATTACATTTTGAAGTGAACTGTATCAGCCTTACAGCCATCTATTAGCAGATTATTTATTTGAACCTACACGAATATGCTAACAAAAATTGTGGAAGGCTGCTCTGAGCTCCTTTTAGTGTCAATTGTATTTTATTAAGAAACAATAAGAGGCTGAAAGAGCAAAAGACTAATGAATCAGACAATAGGAAAAGGTTCAAATATTATTTGGAAACAAAAATCTTTCAGAGTTTGTAATGGTACAACATTCAACAATCACCCCAATGAGAGACACCGAAACCCAAGAACTGGATTACCTATTTTCACTTGAAGCCAAGCGATCAAGCAAGTCATTTACTTCCTTGATTGTTAGTCCACCAGAAGTCATGCCCTGTCTGCGATGTAGGACCTGTTAATAAATGAAGGAACAAAATAAGTTGAATGAGCTTTGTTGAGCAAAGAGGACATTCGACTAAAATTTGGATAGCCTCTAAGGTGATTAGCGGAACAACTTAAGGCATAATCCATCCTATACAAAGTAGAAACATAAAACAAAGAATGCATTATAGAGTGAATCAACAAAATTCAGAATGATCCCCACAAATGGATGGTGTAAATATGCAAAAGTACCATTAAATGCCATAAGAAACACCAAGATACATAGTAAAATGAGCATCTCCCATGTCAAACAAGAATGGAAGGACTTCATTTCCATAAAAAGAGATTTAAAAAAGATAAACAACATAAAAAGACCCAGTTGCTCATACATAACTATTCAATGCCAGCAAACTAGAGAGCCACACAACAAGAACTAATTCATAATTCAAAGTATCTGATCAGACTCAACACCTTCCAACCCGATATTGTACTATGTTACATGTAAACCACATATCTCACACGAGTCATTAAAGACATCTTCAAGTCGTCGAATTATTGTTACCGAATTGGTCAATAATATTATGACGCTGCGATATAGCCAAATCTCTCTCCATATTCAACATCCTCATCTATTTAGAATTTTGTGTATATTGTCTGATACTGCCCCATCAGGCCGCAACTAATCCATCTCAATGCCCTTCAAGTCAATGGTTGAGACTGTGATTGAGCCGTGGGAACAACAATACAAGACAAGGAAGAAACATGCATTAAGAAAAGAAATTCACATGGTTCATTCACCTTGGCAAAATCTATGCATGATCATCAATTAAAGAAAGGGGAAAAACAGATAGATGGAGAGCGAGAGAAGAGAGAATAAAGTTAAGAGTCAACCTACTCCCTCATAGAGTGCAATTATATATAGATAGGCTATACATTACAAAGATCCTGTTAGCTTTTACTATCCTTACGGATACAGATTGCATCAAATAGTACACGAGAAACTATATTCGAAGCAATATGGAGGCAGCCTGATTGTCACAAAATAATTACATTAGGAAGGTAACAAGAAATCCAATTTCATGTTATGAACACTTTGGCCAAATTAGTCCACATTAAGTCAAAGCAATAGATTGAGCAAGTACACTCCCTTTCTACTTTTCCAAGTTGCCTAATTCTCTTTCTAAAAAATGACCGCACCTTGTTGTGGATCTTTTATCTGATGAAGACCCAGCATAATCGACATCAAGAAAACCAATCACCGGTAAATTCTCATGAGTCTTGTATAACAATCCCTGCCCAAGGACTTTTTTCAATTATCTTAGAAATCTCATTGCTAGTTGACACACCTCCTTCCCCGAAAACAAATGCTAAAGATAGATGACACATCCTTCGCCAACTCCCCCTTTATTAACAACTTGACCATTATTACTCTAATAAACAAGCCTTATTCCAAAATCCTTATGCCCAAACTATAATGTAGACAAACTACACTAAAAAGCACCTCGGCTGGGTGATGAACTTTGCCAACGAGGTCAATTAGGGACCATTTTTAACATCCTTAATAGAGCTTTTGCTACTGTGGAATCAAGGGTTTATGTCAGGATTGTTATTCGTGTATCCACTGTCTTGATCATTCGAGGCGAGACGAAACACATGCCCGATAACTCCTTTCCCTAGAAACCGAACGTACACTATCTTGGTAGTATAGCATGCGTCTAGTCCACCCTAATGGATGTAGGAATGCATTGGAAATTATCTTCTTTTTTTTTTTTTTTGTGGGGGGGAGGAGAAGGGAGGGGAGGGGGACTTCAAACCTTGACCTCAAGGCAAAGTTTTCATAAGTTAAGGAGTACTATTGGATCAAAGGCCCATTCATAAGAAGTTATCTAGTTCCACTCTACATCCACATTTGCTTCATTAATTTATCCAAAAGATTAAAAATAAATTCTTAGATTCACAAAATAAATGACAAAACATTTCCACATGAACTTCTCAATGAATTTCATATGCCGTCAATCTCAAGTATCAGCGTACTAGTTGGTCTTGGTTCTTATATTCCAATCAAGTGATGAAACACAGGGTTGGAAACGAAGGATATACAGCCAGAGTCAAATAAGAAAACCAGCAAAAAATACAATAGTTAGGATTATTCACCAGAAGAATCATGAAAATAACTTTTTATTTTTCCATACATTTCAATCCCGAAAATAAAACAAAATATATATTATCCATGTCTATTTAGTTACTCTCCACCCTCGTCTTCAAGGTTTTCATGAGTATAATGATCAGGAAACTAGTAGCTGTTTAATTCCGGAAACAACAAAACCCTCAACAAGATAACCACCACCCTGGCTGAAAAACTTCACCAAACCCAGAGAATTATCAAAAATAGCCAAAAAAACTTCAGAAAAAGCGATCAAATTATCAACAATGAGGAAAAACCCCACAACGAATAACTTCACAAGAACCCATCAAATCATCAATTAAAAACCAACATGGCAAAACTTCTCGAAACCCAGAGAATTATCATCCATAGCCAAAAACCCAAAAATAAATTCATAAAAAGCTATCAATTTATCAACAATAAGGGGAAAATCCCACAACGAATAACTTCAAAAAAATAAATAAATAAATCATCCATAAAAAGCCAACACGGCAAAACCTCACAAAAACCCATAAAATTAGCAGCCCCCCCCCCCCCCTTTTCCCCCCAACACACACCGAATTAGCACCAATAACAAAAACCCGAATACTTAAACTTCATAGAATCAAACAAGATTAACATAGTAGAAAAACCGACCAAGGCAAAGATTTCAAAAAAAACCCACAAAGGCAAGAAGGCAGAGATTTCAAAAAACCCGCGAATGCAAATATTTCAAAAAACCCGCGAAGGCAAAGATTTCAAAAACCCACAAAGGCAAAGATTTCAAAAAACCCACCTCGCCCGCCACAAGCGAAAAATTCCCAGCATTGACACCAGTCTTTGCTCCACCCTTCCGCCAATTGATTAGGCGCACAGCATCATCGGACTCCCTGGACATGCCGAGAGCATCTATGATGCACGTGGCAAGCACGTGCTCCTTCAGACCGTACGTCCCTCGCTCTCGGTCGAGACCCGGAAGAATTAACCTTATGGCGCTGAAGTAGTCGGACGGTTTGCAGAAAGTATCGAGGAATTTTCGGAATTTTGATCGTTTTTTAGCAGATGATTTGCTTCTTTGAATCCAAGTAAAGAGACTCACCATCACACTGAACTGTGCTTCATTTTCGCTAGACATTTTTTGAGCACTTGATCAAGCAAGTTTTGTCTCTCTCTCTGTGTTAACTGGCGATGACGAGAGTTGCGATGGGTGTGTATGGAGGTTTGAGATTCTAGAGCGCTAACGAAAGTACAGCCCCTTCAAGCTTGTGCCAGAAGTTAACAGCCGATTAGGAAACAATAAAGCAAATGAATTATATTGACACCCTAGTACTTTCTCATAATTTCGATATACTCCTGTAAATATCCAAAATTATAATCGGACCATTTTGACTTTCATCAATTAGTTTTTTTTTTTTTTTTGGCCTACTAAAAAAATGGGTGGGGGCAAAAGAGAGTACCCAGAAACCACTCTAATAGGCCTCATTGATGAAATCATGAGGTTTCTGACCGTGTTCGTTACTCTTTTTAGAAACGAACTTAATTATACTAGTATAGCGATCAACTATCAAACCCTAATGTAAACTTTAAAACTCGAACCTCTAACTTTAAGTTGAAAATTTTTGTCAATACTCCAATGAATAACCCCACTCAATAATCACGTACATAAAACCTAAATGATCAATGGGAGTTGAAGATTATCATTCATAGATCGGTGAAAGACGTTCATGGCATGTAATCTTTCTTCAAGCTTGTAATTTGTGCAGCAAGAAACAAAATGACACTGACTTGCGATACTTTTTTGGATAGTTCATAAAAAATTCGTAATTAATACACAAAGATCCTACTTCTGGCGAGGTACATTTGGATAGTTTATACAAATGTTACTTTCAACACATGGTTCTATTCAGGACCCCTCAAATATACCAAAACCATTAGCCAAACAAAGAGTGGATAGAGAAAATAAGTTACTTTGGATAACAAGTTGGCTACTTTGGATTGGGTTGTATGAAAAATTGCAACAATCCAACATACCAAACAAGTCCTAAAACAAAACTTAAGAAAAATACTATACAATCCAAATAAAATTCAAAAACTATAACTCAAACAAATATCATACCTTGAATGAGTGTGTTCTCCTGAAAAAATTGATAAGACTCACTCATCAAATAGATATACATTTAAGTTACAACTTTTTAAATTTTCATTTAGGTTATGCAGTGCGATGTGCAAGACACGCTGCAAAGTAAAATGGCATGTCAATGTGTCAAGCAAAGCCATGTGATGTGATGGATAAGGCACGCAACAAGACAACATAACACGTCATATTGCCAGACAAGGCCACGTAGTGGGATGGGCAAGGAACGTGGCAAAGCAACATGGCACATCGATGTGTCAAGCAAGGCCATGCGGTGTGATGAATAAGGTCCATGGTAGCCTTCACCCTCCTCAATAATAGAATTAGGAAGCAAAACCCAAGTGTCAATGTACAGTAGTACCACATTTTTGGTGGAATTAGGGTTGAAAGTTGGGTGGGCCAACCCAAGTCAACTCAAACCCAACACCAAAAAAATAGGGCTTGGGTTGGGGGGTTTTAAAATTAGGGTTGGACATGTGCCAAAAAACTCCAATTCAAATTCAATTCGAGTTGAGGTGTCGGGTTTACGGATTCAACCTAAACCCAATTCGAAAATGATAAAATTGGGCTCAACCCGAAAATGTAAAATAAACATAAAAATTATAATTATAATATATATATATATATATCGAGAGAGAGAGAAGAGAAAAAAAAAAAAAGAGACACTAGGGTTTTTCACTTCCTTTTCTGTTGTTCCGACTCTTTTGCCTCTCTATCTCTCTGTCATCTTCCCATGAATCCTATCTCTCTTCATCTGCTAGACATGTAGAAGTCCTCGATATATCTGATAAAGTCCACCATATATAGATTTGGAGAAAAAGATCTTGATTGATAGATCTGGAGAAGAAGACCTCAGTAGATCTTGAGAGAACAATTGGTAACAAAGTTGATCTCATATTCGTCTAGATCTTTGTTTCTTTGTTTGGTTCTTGCTCTAGCTCTATTTGGTAATTGAAGAAGATATCGTCTAGATCTCTGTTCCATTTTGTGTATTAATTGAAGAAGTTTGTTCAATTTTTTAATTGAAATTGCATTAATTGAAGATGTTGGATCTTGATTCAATTTCTAAAGATGCAAAAGAAGTCTCAACTGATGCAAAACATGTAGATGTATGAAAATTAGGGATACAATATAAAGCATTAAGTAGTGTATTGTCTGTCTGTCCAAGCTCGAATTCAACGAAATGCATTAGGTAGTTTCTCTTTCCAATCTTCTCAATTTTGAGCTCTAATTTTTTTTTTACAAGTTTATGAGATTTTGTCCATGAAATCAAATTTTGCAGAATGATGAAATTTAGAAGTTTTTATCTATGACTAAGGTTGAATCATTATGCAAAAATTTTGCTTATTTTGTCAATGAAACAATCTTGTGCCAGTGGTTTGTGAATAAGGTGAATACTATGTACTAAGTTTAGGTTTAGTTTACAACAGACAAATATTGGGCCTTAATTATTCAGCTTGAATTCTAACTTGAAATTAATTCAAATTGGGGAACCCGAATTCAATCTGAACTTGTTTGAATTCATATTGGGCAGTATCCAAATTGAGTATCTCGGGTTGAGGTCAGATTAGGGATGAAGATTTTATACCTAAAATTGGGCTAGGGTTGACCCCTCAACCCGCCCAAGTTGCATCCCTAGGTGGCATTGACAATCCGTTCTAATTCCTATAAGGCAAGTTATAATAAATCCATATAAAAAATGTTTAAATACAAAACATATACCCTGATTAATTTATTTGCCAATTTGTAGGTTTTGTAATCAGGAAAATACTTATCTCTTCAACATAAATGGAAAAAGATACTGATATTATCGATGAAGAACATTTATTATTATCAAATCAAGGCCTCCGTGACAAGTACACATTGAATGCAACGGTGAATCTTACTTGGGCTTACATGGAATAAAGAGTGAGAAGTTATTTGCTTATATGACAGGTTAGTAACTAATTTTTGTGGGTTCCATTTATTTATTTATTTTAATATTATTAATTGGTAATACCACATCATTTTACTATGTGGTATCACTGTTATAATGAATATTTTTACGTGTACTATCAAGTTTGTATTGTAGATCCAAAGGAAAAAAATGATACGTATCTTCATTTTTATTTTACTCTTCGAATTGAAAATTAGTAAATCATCTATAGTTTTTCACTGAGAGGTGGTAGGCGAAGGTGATGGTGGTTGGCAGTAGTGGTGGTGGGACAACGACGATGGTGGTGGCAATGGTGGCAGTGACAATGGTGATGGTGGACAATGATAGGTGCTTCTAGGCAACAGTGTGATTGGTGATGGTGAATGGCAGCAGTGGTGGTGGTGGCAGTAGATATGGTAGGATGGGTGATAGTTGTTGACAATGGGTGTTGACAGTGGGCAACAGTGGTAGTTAAATGATAGTGATAGTGATAATAAATATAAGAATGAGATGACGATGATGGTTGGTGGTGACGGTAGATAACGGTGGTAGCAACCGGTGGTGGTTGTGACAAAAGTAGTGGTGATGGTGGCAATAGTGGCGGGGCACTAGTGGAGGTGGTAGTGATGGCGATGGCGATGGCGATGGCAATGGCAATGACTGGCAATAAAATTTCCAAAAAAATAAGTAAAAGATATGGGATCTTTCTTAGAAAGATGAGCAACCAGTAGAAAGAGTGATATTTTACTAAAACATTTGGAAGGAGGTAACCCACTGGAGCTTCAAGTTGATAAATGAAGCTCATTGAAAAAAGTATGAGAACCACTTACCGCCTGGAATATATACTTGGCGCCGAGTATTTCAAGTTGATAAATGAAGCTCATTGAATAAAGTATGAGAACCACTTACCGCCTGGGATATGTATTTGGGGCTGAACACTCGGCGAGGCCAATAGAAATTGAGCCACCTTCAATTATACACGAATATCCAGAAGTTACATTAAATGGAACAAAAACAGACACACACAGACAGACAGACAGAGAGCAAATAACTCATGGGACAGATGGAATTCTCACCTCTCCTCCCCGACGTCCAGAGCCGTAGTAGCCTCCTATTCAGAAGCAACCATAAGATAATAAAAAAAAAAAGTGCAATTCACCGTTTGGAGGGGAGAAAAAGCTGAAAGAGAAACAATTACAAACCTATGATGAGAGCATCTAAATCAGATCCAGCACGTATGTACTCAGGCTTCAACTTTAGCCACTTTCCACTCCTATCACTCGGTTCCCATTTAGAGCCAAAGTCTTTCAATACAATCCCCTCATCTCTAAGGTGAAAATGAGTTTAAACATAAGAAATAGATACACCAACAGTTCATAACTTACTCAGGTTTAGAAAAGCTCTCAATGATCACGGACATCATTCAGGACAATTGTTCTGACAACCAAATGATAGGATTTCCATTTGAAACAGGAGTAGTGCAGATGTGCTAGTGACTCCATTGCCAAGTTTACCGAACAAACCAATTCCAGCATCAACTAGGTACCTAAGCTCAAGCTAAGGTGAATCTAACTTAACAACTAATGAACTGATCTTTTAAACTTGTCAACTTAAGAAGAAACCAAACCAGCTTTAGTTTAGTAGTTTCAGCTTGGGCTCACTTGCATTAAGAACATCAAGGACGTGTGTATGTAGGCATGAAATGACAATATAACATCTTTGTTAGGCACTGCGTTCAAGATTTCAACTATCTAATGGGCATCGATAAATTGAACCACAAACCTACAATGTGACTTGTGACACTTACCATCACTCAACAAAGACATTAGCAACAGATGAGATTTTGGATTTGGAATGACAAAACTGTACAATATTCTGTTTACAGATTACAAATTATAAATAAGATTAAAATGCTAAAATTACTAAAAAAACAAAATTCACCTCACTTATGCGATTTCTTAATATTATTGTGAGTGTTTATTTGAAGTAAAACAATTTGCTGAATATAACTATTTAAGATATTTAAAAAAAATTATAAGATCATTTCAAATTTGAAAAGCAAAGAAAATGAAAGGGTTGGGCTTTTTGATGAGGACAAAAAGATAATGGAGTTGTGGAAAGGTAAAAAATATATAACGTTGTATTTAAAAAACTTGCTAAGGGTAATACAAGCAATCAAAAAATTTTCAATATAGTGGCATCTATATATAGTACAGACATGGATACGCCAGAAGTATGGTAGTGAATGAACCATGCCCTCAGAAACTGGTCAAGGCTACAGCCAACTTTAACCTATAATCAGCCCAAAAAAAAAATCTTACATGTTTCTAAAGATTTCATGCACGCCATTCCCAAGTGGTTGCCGTATAAAGATCCCTTCTTGAAGATCACTAGGTACGAAGAAATGAATATCTGGCTAGTCAAGAGCCAGGCTTTGATAGTTGCTTTAGACCTCAGTTCTCAACCCAAATTAAGATAAGCCATAGGCAAAAGATTCAAAGTAGTCAGATTCCATGCTTTTTACTATATTCTCCCATCACTAACCAAGGTTTCTACTTAGGGGTCCCATAAGAGTTATATATTATTTGTTTAAACCTGAAGATTCTTTGCAACCTTCTTGCTACCATGCTAAAAGGTAGACCTCTAAGTATCACTTCGTTGCAAGACAACCATCTCCCACAAAACACCCTTACCATTAGGATGGTGAAGCACTCAATGGTTCAAGGTTGCACTTTCAGTCATCGAGTTAGCTTTGATCATGCTATCGTGGAACGGTGTAAGGCCATATGCATGAAATACTACACAAAAGAAATTGAACATGAAGAGGTTCAAGCTATACTGTGGCATCGCAGAACGATATCAAGTGGGTTTCCGCAATTCGAGGATGAGGATGATAACTCGGCCAACAAACGAGAGTCGAGAGAGATACTTGTGGTTTATCAAAACAGACGTGTGCCTAGTCAAATATCACTTGGCTAATTTGTACCAGACTCATCCAATTCTTTGAACTCTGATGCAGTCACTAAATCTTCAAGGAAATAAGACTTAATTACAAGCTATTCATGGAGAATAACTCTGCTGCAGCTGTAGGGCAAGCAGTGACATATATAAAGGTTAACACTGGATCCTTTTTTTTTTCTTCGTCAATATATAAACAGAAAAGGATAAATACCAATTTTAGTTTCCTGTTCTCTCATGTGAATTTCCTTCTCTCCTCTCTTTCTTCTTTCTCTTGCTTAAGAAAATTTACAATTATTCATTCCCACTAGATTTTAGATATTCACGTGGGATTAAAGTTTAATACCACTGTTTTCTAAAAAATGTGTCCTCTTCTTGTTCAGCTCATATGAAAAAACTGATTATAAGCCCAGTCAAATCATATGTTACCTTCATTTAGTTAGCTTGAAAACATAGTTAACCGATGTTAGCATGAAATTATAGGTGAAAGATGTTTGCATAATACCAAAACATAATACCATGTTTTGGTATAGAATGTTTATACCAAAACATAATACCAAATTGCATCAATGATGTACTTGTCCTGCATTTCGTGTGTAAATGACATGAATGCACCCTCTACAAAACTCTCCCCAACTTTGATAACTAGCCTCCTACAATTGATCTGTAAGAGTACTAGGAAAACTGAATGCCAAAAGTATAACACTGTAAAACAATTTTAGCAAGACCAACTATCTGTGATTACCTGACATTAGACTTAATAGGACACCATATTCTATGCATTAAATAAAAGCTCTGTTGGAATAACCAGTTGGACTGCGGATTAAAGGAAAAAGATTGCAGACCTGTTCTCTATTGTCTCTTTGAAAAATCTCTCAACGTCATCAACACTGCGAGCAATAAGTGACCAACATGGTTCCCCTGTATGGCCAATACAAGTAAGCAGCAGTAGAAAAGAACCTAGCAATTTCGTTTGAGAGATAAAGACGGCACCACCAAAAATAATCAAACATGCAGCTTTTGAAAAATCGCCAGTAAAATCCAAGGAATAAATTATGTGCATCTTTTCATGACAAGATTAACCTGCACCATTTTACTTAAAAGATGTGCAGCAACAACAAAAATTATGAAGATATAATTGAAAGAACAGGTCAGGCTTATCCAAACATTTGAAAAGTGAAAAAAAATCAATTAAGAAAGTTCAAGGTATCAAATTAATGTTCATCATATGATCACATTAATTTGATGTATGTGGCTTTCTTAATTACTCTGAATATTTGTGGATATACATATCAAGGAGAAAGAAGTAAAATTATCATATCAATCATCAGACACTAGTATCAGGTTCTCCAAACCAAGGCATGTAAGGCCATATCAAAGACACAAGAAAAGGCAGTTGGACGTCAAGTTTAAGACTCATGGTTGGTGTGGTTTGGAAAAACTTACCCCAATAAGGACAGCTAAAGGAATTCCCAAATATAGGAGAATGCACAAGACTATCTTTTTGTATGTAAACTCAAACTGCAATTAGTCAATATAGAACTGAACTATGCACGCACACATTTTTTGTAACTATTCCACAAGACTGATTAATGTGGGATGGTTTTAGACGTCAGCAACATATTAAAAATGCAGCAGAACATACAGAAAAAAAACCCAAAAAAAAAATAAATTTGGGGCTGATTATGGTTGGTACAAAATGCAAACGCTAAAGGCTGCTATGCATGCCGACCTTTGAACAGTAAACCAGAGCTGTTGAGGTTATTTGAGTGCTTTAGTTAATTAATCGGAGAAGGCAAGGCATTGGATTTGTGAAATAGGATACAGAATGTATCAAAGGGAAGGACAAAACTTTCGGAAAGACAGAAAATTAAGAGAAAAAGAGGGAAGAGAAGAAGAAGAATAGAGGAAAGGGAGCACAGCCACACCTAGGCAATCAAACTAGGTTCTTAGGCATCATGCCCAATAATAATTGCATCACACCTCGTGGAAGAATTTGGGGGAAGGACATTAACTTAGAATGAATATGACAATCTCCATTTTGAATTTGAAGAGGGTATTTTAATTCTGAAATGTTGGACTCTAGGATAAGCTCCATTATTTTCAGTCGAGCCTTTAAATAACGAAGTCCCATCTTCGACAGGACTTTCCTTTCCAAGTGATAACAACCTTGCCACTCCGTTCCACAGGCCCTATTACTCGGGAACTTGCATTTAATCTCTTAAACTTTTTCTAAGCTTGTCCACTACATACAGAGTTCTAACTCATTAACAGTGATTAAAAAAATGCAAGGAAGGGGTTAATCTTATAAGTAAAAATTATTCTGTTTGCCTATCTATATTAGCTGCACAGTTGTTTTAATTCCTCTTTTGAAATAACCAGCAGACAATCTAATGCCAAACAGATTCGGGATGTGGACTCGAGAATCAAATAATCAAGACTGACGGTCAGGCAACCAGCAACAATAATTAGGCGCTACATAAACAATTTTGGAAAGGCTTTACGTATTCAACATGAACATTTCCTATTACTTCCAAGTTCCAACACAGTTTTTACACTCCCTATATGACCTCATCTCTTCTTCTATCTTGCAAAAAGGGGGTTTTGAAAGGGGAAATCATAGGTTGTTGGAACAATTCAATTAGGAATCAGTTCTTGTGCCCTGAGATGTTTATCTATTGCAAACTTTTGGACTTTTGGATGAACCAAGTCACGGAAAGATGTCATTCTCACACTAGGGCCCGCCATCCAATAGCTCCACAACACACCTGGGGCTGCCGATTGTTTCAGAATGCATGCAACTAACTCTACAACTTTTAACAGAAAGCTAGGGATTCCAAATCTGATACACAAGTCCTTCGGTCCAAATTGAGTATCTCGGGTTGAGGTCAGATTAGGGATGAAGATTTTATACCTAAAATTGGGCTAGGGTTGACCCCTCAACCCGCCCAAGTTGCATCCCTAGGTGGCATTGACAATCCGTTCTAATTCCTATAAGGCAAGTTATAATAAATCCATATAAAAAATGTTTAAATACAAAACATATACCCTGATTAATTTATTTGCCAATTTGTAGGTTTTGTAATCAGGAAAATACTTATCTCTTCAACATAAATGGAAAAAGATACTGATATTATCGATGAAGAACATTTATTATTATCAAATCAAGGCCTCTGTGACAAGTACACATTGAATGCAACGGTGAATCTTACTTGGGCTTACATGGAATAAAGAGTGAGAAGTTATTTGCTTATATGACAGGTTAGTAACTAATTTTTGTGGGTTCCATTTATTTATTTATTTTAATATTATTAATTGGTAATACCACATCATTTTACTATGTGGTATCACTGTTATAATGAATATTTTTACGTGTACTATCAAGTTTGTATTGTAGATCCAAAGGAAAAAAATGATACGTATCTTCATTTTTATTTTACTCTTCGAATTGAAAATTAGTAAATCATCTATAGTTTTTCACTGAGAGGTGGTAGGCGAAGGTGATGGTGGTTGGCAGTAGTGGTGGTGGGACAACGACGATGGTGGTGGCAATGGTGGCAGTGACAATGGTGATGGTGGACAATGATAGGTGCTTCTAGGCAACAGTGTGATTGGTGATGGTGAATGGCAGCAGTGGTGGTGGTGGCAGTAGATATGGTAGGATGGGTGATAGTTGTTGACAATGGGTGTTGACAGTGGGCAACAGTGGTAGTTAAATGATAGTGATAGTGATAATAAATATAAGAATGAGATGACGATGATGGTTGGTGGTGACGGTAGATAACGGTGGTAGCAACCGGTGGTGGTTGTGACAAAAGTAGTGGTGATGGTGGCAATAGTGGTGGGGCACTAGTGGAGGTGGTAGTGATGGCGATGGCGATGGCAATGGCAATGACGGTGGTTGTAATGATGGGGCGATGGGGGTGGTAGGGTTAAGGTGATGATAGGATAGTGGCTATGGTGGTAGGGTGATGATGGTGGGACAGTGGTGATGATGGTAGAATGGTGGTAATGATAGTGGAGGGGCGGTGGTGACTATTGTGACAGAGGTGACGATGACGATAATAGTGGGGTGATGGGGGTGATGGTGGTAGTAGAGTGATGGCAGCGATGGTTAGGTGGTGGAACAGTGGTAGTGATGATGATGGGGCGATGGGTGTGGTGGTGGTGGGGTGGCGACAGTGATGGTGTGACGCCCCATCCCGATCTCCCAAGGATTAGACACGACTAGGTTTTTGATATACCTGTTTATATGTATATAATCTAGATTAATAAAACACTAATTAATCTCACAGGTGTAACAATACCATTCATTAACTTAGTTATTAAGCATGATGGTAAACCTATCTCATAACTTGTACCAATTGTTTGTTTCCACGGTTATAGACAAATACAAAATCTCACACCCACATAGCATACATCACAAAATATACCTATTGAGTCTTTTTACAAATATATATACTATTAACATGCTATAATAATATCTCATTTATCATAATAAACAACCTAACAAATAATTATACAGTCCCTCAACCAGTATCATTTACTCATTTAAAACTAAATACATAACGAATAGAATATCATACTATATATTGTACAAAACACAACCCTTTTGACAATGGACTGATTTATGTCTTCCCCTCTTGTACCTGAAAAGGAGAAGTTATAGGGGTGTGAGCTAAACCACGCGCTCAGTGAGTATACATGTCGTATATAAAATAAAAATGATAATAATACATAGAAGTAGGTAAATACTACGTAAATACACGTGTTAAGTTAAGAGAATTAATATAACACAATATTAGAGGCAATATTAGAGAGAAAGAGAGAGGTTAGAAAACTTAACCTAACTCTCATACATAACTTGTATTTATAGTTAACTTACAATAATAATAATAACACATACATCCTTTTTACTATTAACAACTTACACATACTACTACTCTATTATTCTTAACACTCCCCCTCAAGTTGAACTATATATATATCATATAATCCAAGCTTGAAACAAATAGTTGTAAGACGCGTACGACTCAATGCTTTGGTAAACATATCTGCAAGCTAATCTTCAGATTTCACAAATGGAGTTGTAATCTCCCCGGCTACTATTTTGTCCCGAATAAAGTGACAGTCAACCTCAATATGCTTAGTTTTTTCATGAAACACAGGATTGACAGCGATATGAATAGCTGTCTGGTTGTCACAGAACAACTCTAAAAGAAGTTGAACTGAAAAACCAATTTCCTGGAGGAAGTGTAGTAGTCAAGTCAACTCACTTGTCGTATGTGTCATTGCCCTATACTCAGCCTCAACACTGGATCTTGCTACCACAGGTTGTTTCTTACTTTTTTATGAGATAACATTACCTCCTACAAAAGTACAATAACCAGTGGTTGATCTCCGATCAGAAGGAGATTCAGCCCAATCAGCATCTGAGAAACCTTCCACTCTAAGATGTCCATTAGCTCGATATAACAGTCCAAGTCTTGGAGCTCGTTTGAGATATCGCAGAATACGAGTAACTGCCTCCCAATGTGGTACTATAGGACATCCCATGAACTGACTTACTATACTGACTGCATAGAAAATATCCGGTCGAGTAATAGTGAGATAATTAAGCTTCCCAACCAATCTGCGATACCGACTCGGATTTTCAAATAATACACCATCATCCATCAATAATTTTTGATTCGAATCCATAGAGACATCAATCGGTCTACCACCCAGCAAATACTTAAGTTGAACTCAACCTGTTTAGATCGAGTCACCTCAATACCCAAGAAATACTTAAGTTTTCACAAATTCTTAGTATGAAATCGATCCTGTAAAAATAATTTTAACTTGGTAATCCCCTCAGAATCATTTCCAGTAATCACAATATCATCGACATAGACCACCAATAGGACATACCCAGCATCTGTCTGCCTATGAAACATAAAACGATCTGTTTGACATCGAAGAAGACCAAACTCTAAAACTGCATCTGAAAACTTACCAAACCATGCCCTCGGTGACTGCTTTAAACCATACAAAGATTTTTTTAACCGACAAACACTCTTACCAGACTCCCCCTGAGCAGTAAACCCAGGTGACTGCTCCATGTAGACCTCTTCAACCAAATCACCATATAAGAAGGCATTCTTGACATCTAATTGAAACAAGGGTCAATCAAGATTAGCAGTCAAAGAAATCAAGATACGAACAGAGGAAATTTTAGCAACAGGAGAAAAAGTCTCCTCATAATCAACATCATAAGTCTAAGTAAAGCCCTTTGCAACAAGTCGGGCTTTGAGACGCTCTACAAAACCATCTGAATGAAATTTAACATCATACACCCAACGACATCCAACAGTTCGTTTACCAGAGGGTAAAGGGACGAGATCCCAAGTTCCATTATGATGTAAGGCATCCACCTCCTCC